ACAATTAAACATGTGTCATTTAATAATGTCTTCTGCAATGAATAACTTTCAAGCAACATTAAGATATTTCTAAAGAAAGTTTCTAAAATATACTAAAATATAATTGGCAGCAATTGGAAAACTTCTTAAAATATTTTAAGAAGAATGACATGTCCTGTATCTCTGAAACTCATAGTTTACCCTAACTACACCATCAGAAGTATTCCAGATATTCAAACTTCCATCATCACTTGAAGAAATCCCAAGAGCTCCACCAGGGGACACATCAACACACCTAACCTTAAAAAAAGAAATTTTGTCTAGCGTATTTTACTAAATACAGGAATAGCATTGTATATCTCAGTAATTATATTGCACTGTATTATATGGCACTTTTTTAATTGTCTGGTACAGCCTTCTTTCATATTACATAACATATTGATTTCAAGTTTTCACTGTTACTTTATTTTTACTTCTCTTATTATATTTGTTAAAGTAGAGAATTGCCAGTGCTAAGGCCCACGAAGTTGGATTATTACTTGAAAAATATATCTCTTTTTCTTGATTCAGTTTGAACAAAACAGCAATCTTTTGTTACAACATAAGTAAACAAGTGAATCAATTCATTAATTTGTCAATCAGTTGATCAATCAATCAATCAATCAATCAATCAATCAATCAATCAATCAACCAACCAACCAAAGGTGGTCTTCCAAGGATTCACATTTCATCAAACATGAAGTCACCAGGATTCTACAAGTCCTAAACTTAACTATGAATAAAATAATACACAGTTTCTGAATTCATTTATAAGGATCCTGATACTGAAGGGTAGCAGGAAATAATTCTATCAATAGAGCAGAAGATAAATGCAACTGGCATTTAAATTTTGAAAGAATTGTAAACTCACAGCCTTCTTGTGGAGGTTCCTGAAGGTTGAAAATGGTGCATGGAACACACTTGACACATTTTGACTTACAGAGGAAACTTTGATTACCATCTAAAATTATGATCAAATAATTACTGTGATTTGAACTTCAATTTCATGCTGTCATGAATTATTAGCAGACATATCAGTGTCCCAGAAATAGGACTGCCTAAGAAATATAACATTTGAATATCCAATATAGTATTCCTAGAAACAAATTGGCACAATAACATAGTGGTCTATCAGATTTTTCTCAAAACTAGTGAGCTCTAAAGTGAACAAAAGCTAACAACATAACTTTCTCTAAAATTTTAAAAATATCATTGGTACAGAAACTATACGAGCAATAACGTTTTTAAGCATGATACTAATAGGCATTGCCCAGCCTAATTGTGTGGGTGCTGATGTCCCATCAACTAATTGCTTAATCCACAGAGAAATTTTTCATCACATTCCACTGTTATGTAAACCCTGATGACTGCCAACAAATGGGTTCAAGACAAGATTTTTGCTTGTACATTTTTAATCAATGCATATTTTATGATTTAAAAGACATGGAGTGGGTAGAAGATGCAGTTCAGTTATGTAGGAATAGATAAAGCATTCTTGTTATAGAAACATATTAACATACAGAAACAGAGATAATCACTAATAAATGAGGAATTACAAAGGTTGCATCCACCATTTTTTGAACAATTTTTTAAGCAAAATAAATCAATATTCAGATGGTTACTTGTATATGCAAGATGAGTGATCAAAAATCCCAAATTGTTTTATACCAGAAGCACCAACCGACACTTCCCTTGTACAGGATTGTGTAAACAGGCACCGCCGAGCAGGGGGGGCTGGGGAAGCTTTAGCCCCCCCCCCCACTTTTTGCAAAAAAATGCCCAATATTTAGTACTAAACTATCAGTAAAGCCTCTTTTTATAAGGATTTAGCCCCCCCCCCCACTTTTTTTAGACACCCCACTTTTCTCAACGCTTCGCGGTGCCTGGTAAAGTATTTTGTGCCTGTGAACATATTTTTCTAATCTGAATATGTGACAGATAATGTCTGTCAAAATCATGATATAAAATTTCTGGTACTTTGGTGTTAACTGCCAATGAAGTAACTTTGCTTATATAGGCTATTTTCCAAAACTTGCTACTCATCCATCAATAATGCCATTACCATGACATTCCTGTATGTCACCGGGACATCACATACAACAGGACATTTCCCTTTATCATTGTACAATGTTTATCATTCTTAGTTCTGCTTCTAGGCCTCTAGATTTTGCAAGCAAGCATTATTGTCTAAACTTACAGTAGAGAGAAGCTCAGCTGTGAAATCATTATGGTCAACTTCTATGTGCATGTCTGAATAATTTCTGGCTCCATTTGACAAAATATTTCCATAAATAGGCTTTTTACCTGAAGTAAAAAAGAATTTTGAAGAGTTCTATATAATGAGTTCTATAAAGCTTGGTTTCCACTATGAGTTAACGTGAGTTAATTTGAGATAATTTTGTGATCTGACATGGTTTAAAAATTATCTCATAGTGGAAACGGTCATTAAAAATTATCTCATGAAAATTAACTCGTGTTAACTCATGTTATCTCATGAGCTTGGAAACAAAATTTTTTGATTTCAAGCTCATGAGTTAGCTTGAGATAACATCTTATCAAAAGAAGCCGATGCGTGGGAGGGGAATGTGCTATAATTTGCACTGAGGTTCTTATGCAACGCACTTGCACTGAGTATTACTTCAGATGTTGAAAACAGTTTTCTTTACTAAAAAAAAATCAATTGTGAAATAAGAGAAGCATGTTCTCATTTCTAAGTTCCCATTCCAAGTGGTCGTATTCACCAAACGCATATCTTTTTTGGTAGACTTTCCGTACCGAAAACCTTGGCGCAGATCGCGAACGGTACTTCTAGCAAAAAATATTTTCCTTCTAAGTATTCTCAAAAGCAGAAGTAAAGTAAGTTGTTCTTGTAAGACGCCCGCCATAGCTATAAGACTCAAATAAAATGTGATTTCTGAAATTTCCATACTTAATTCTATCTCAAGTGGAAACCGAATCGGTACATGGGTTAATTTTGAGATAGCTCGCATTATCTCACGCTATTTCACACTATCTCAAGTTAACTTGAATTTAGACCATGAGTTCATTTTCATTTTAGCTCAGAATTATCTCACGTTTACCCATAGTGGAAACCAAGCTTTAGAGTTTAATACAAACTTTTTACAAATTGAGACTATAAATTCTTATTTTTTTATTTCATGTTGGTACTCTAAGGTTGGGGATAGACAGAAAAGATCTTTAAATAAATGAAAAATTGTATTAAATTGTTGGGGGGAGGGGGGGGGGTGAAAAAATATTATTTACATTAACAGTAGGAAATTTCTTTAAGAATTTTAAAAATTCCAGCCACAGGTATGTTGATATTACCTTGAACATGACAGGAGATCCAAACTTTTTCACCTTTTCTATAAAATAAAAATTGTCGACCTTAATTATGTCATTTGCACTTGGTCACCTAACTCACAGCAAAATCAGAAAAAATACAGGATTTGACAAGAAAAATTGTGTTCTTGCTGTTTATAATTACATTTTGAGCATTATTAAAAGTGAACTTTGTAACCACTTTTATCTCAAGATGTTTTTTCCAAGAAAGCCTAGTAGTACAACTGTGATACATCAAGATTTTGATAAAATTGGGCCAGTTTCAGTTCATAGTTATTAAGTCTGCGGATAATCATAATCGTCTGCTTTGTTTTACCTTATTCCATCTTGCCAGTCGCTTCGAATTCGGATAAATGGAAGGTTTTCGTGAGCTTTCAAATTTCCCTCCGTGTCCGACATTTTGGTTTGTGTTGTTGCTGTTGCATCTCTCAGGTCTGGTATAAACGGGGGGGGGGCTCAAAATAGACAGGGGGTTGAAATGAACAATAGAATCAATAGATATACGTAGAAAGATGATAGAAATAGATCTCTCGGATTTACAAAACATGAACCCGTCAAGTATGACAAAACGATGACCCTTTTGTTGCTTGTTTCATCCTATCATCACATTTAATGAAACCCCAAAAGGGTAAGCTACCAAATTCAAGAAAAGTTCCTAAAATCTCATTTTATTCAGAATTTTTGCTAACATTGTTTTTGAAGAAGATTTCCTAAAATCTTTATTATGCAGAATTCTTGCTAGGGGCTCCCCCATAGTGGTTGTGATTCACGCATTCACGCATAATTTTTTACTTTTCGCGTATTCACGCACTGCCTATCGGCAAACCTGAAAATTTTCCTATCGGCAAACCTGAAAATTTTCCTATCGGCAAACCTGAAAATTTTCCTATCGGCAAACCTGAAAATTTTCTTCGCATAGCTTAAATGCAATCTTTGATGACATAATTTGTTTCAAAACAAGTTTGTGATGGGTAGTTTGATTGTGGTATTTGGTTAGTTAGTCATAAGAAAAAAAACGCCGGGGCTTTCATCACCGATACAAATCGATACAATACAAGAATAATAATAATAATAATAATAATCAATTTATTTAAAGTTGGCGCTACATAGCTATTTACAAAGAAATGAGCTAATCCAAGCCAACTGTTAAAACTACTACATCAACTAAATACATACGAGATTAAATGCATAAAATTTTAAATACAAAATGATCCATTAAAAAACTATAAAAACCTGAGCTATTTAAAAGATAGAATTACAAAAAACCAAGCTGTGGCACGAACGTCCTACATAGTTTGCATGTACAGTCTGTGCCATTCCAGCTTTTAATTTCTTTCTTAAACTCATTAATAGATTGAGCATTCCTTATGTGCTGAGGTAAAGAGAGCCAAAGACGCTGCCCTCTATATTTGATAGTTTCGGTTCCATAAATGGTTGTTCTTACTCTTGGTGCCATGAATTCATTATTATTTCTCAAATTATAAACAGCATGACGCTCGCAGAAAATCTCCCTCATAAAAGGAGGGTTGATATTTCCCTTTGTTTTAAACATTTCAATCATAAGATTTCGCAGGTGTTTTACATGAATATTTACCGAGCCATCATTTTCTAGCAGAGTGTTGAAGCTAGAATCATAGTCTTTGTATGCAATTCTCAGAGCTCTTTCGTGTATTCTATTAATCTTACTATTCAAGTGCCTACTGTGGAACATCCAGACTAGTGGACAATATTCGAATTGGCTAATTACAAATGCTCTCATTAAGATTTTAAGTTTATTAGCGTCCATGTATCCAGATATGCGAGCGAGGGCGGTGAGTTTGCTACCAGCCTTCTTACATACTTTACTGATATGTGTCTCAAAACTGAGTTTTTTGTCTATCACAACACCTAGTAGCTTTTCCTCTTCCGAGTTTTCTATGATAGAATCTCCTACATTAACTTTAACCTGTTGATTAGAACTTTTGCCAAGAATAAGTAAATGACATTTGTTTGTATTCAACTTCATAAAGTTATCAGCGAACCATTGGATAGTTGTACTTGAGTCATTCTCTAGCCTTGCAATTACATTATTGAGATTTTTATCGCACGCATATAGAGTTGTATCATCCGCGTAATTGCAGATATCCGTATCCATTAAGGAGAGAAGTAAGTCATTTATGTAGATGTTAAAGAAGAGGGGACCAAGAACTGATCCTTGCGGAACACCAAGGAGCAATTGTTTGTAGGTACTGAATGATCCATTAATCTTAACTCTCTGATGCCTATTTTCCAAGTAGCTGTTAACAAGACACAGTGCTTCATGGCTGAATCCGTAAGCATCTAGTTTTGCTATAAGGAGGTCATGTTTAATACAATCAAAGGCTTTCGAGAGATCCATAAGGATTGCGCCAACATTTTCTCCCCTGTCTAAGCTTGCTTTCCATTTTTCAAGCATTCGAGCTAATGCGTGCTGCACATTGTACCCTTTACGAAAACCACATAAAAGTGACGATAAATACGATTGCATATAATCAATAATCTGTTTATCCATAAGTCTCTCAAAAACCTTTGAAACAGTTGGTAGTACACTAACCGGTCTGTAATTTTTCTTATTGGTTTTCTCCTCCGATTTGTGGAGGGAAGTGACATCTGCTAGTTTTAATAGGTCGGGAAAGACACCATTTTGAATGCAGTTATTGAAAATAAGCTGCAACGATTCGGAACAAATGTCAGAGCTATTTTTCAGCACTCTCGCGGGTATATTTCCAAAGGTTGTTGCCTTTTTAGGATTAAGCCCCTCAATTTCAGAGTGTATCTGTTCCACAGTAACCTCTTGGAATTTAAAGTAGCCGTTAATTCGAGCAAAACTGCGAATTTTCCTAATGCTAGGGTGTTTTGAATATTTCATTATAGCCTTTTCTATAGGATCTGATAAACCATCTGTACTTATGGTAACCTCCCTGTTCCCTGTCAGACCTAATGAGTCAGTTATCGATATAAAATAATCGTTCATGGCTTCTGCAACTTCCTTATCATTGGAAATCATCCTATTATTATCGATAAGGGTAATATTTGAGTTCGATCGACTTTTATCGGAAAGGACAGGTTTTACAGTTTTCCAAAATTTCTTGTTGTCTGTAATATCAGAAGTATTCAAATTTTTATAGAAATTTCTTTTTTCCGTTCTAAATAATTTGACACACAAATTACGCTGTCGACGAAACGCTTCCCAATGTTCAGCTGTGCGGCTTTTATTATATCTATTTTTTCTGAACTGTGAAACTGTGAAACTACTCAACAAAAACTTTAAGAACTGTGAAACTACTCAACAAAAAACAAACGTTAAGACCTTGAAAATGTTAGAGAACTCAGTAAAACATGATTAATGACACAGTGGTAGCGCCAGGGGAGGGCTAGGGGGGGCTACAGCCCTTCCGTCGGAAGCATCTAGCCCCTCCATCGGAGGAAATTTTAGGTAAATGTCGGAGCAAATTTGACAAAAAACGTACGAAAACTGCTTATTTTAGTCATTTTAACCCCCCCTGTCGAAAGCTCCAACCCCTCTGTCGGAAGAATTCTGGCGCCACCTCTGATGACAGAGAAATATAATGAAAAGGTAAACATCTACAGATGTAGTCCTTCCGACACCTGACATCATGTATCGCTAAAGAGATGGCACAAGGCTACTTTTTTCAGTGTATTACCAACTTACGGGGCTGAAAACTGTCGCACACAAATCCAAAAGCAAATGTGCAAATAAAAGTTCAAGCTTCTATTTAAAAAGGAAGTGCAAAATCTGAAAAAGAGCTGCATGAATTTAGAAAAAAAACATCAAGTTAAAAAAAGAAAGCTACGCCAAACTAAAAAAGCCACGGCAAAACAGAGAAAGCTAGGCCAAAATAAAGAAAGGCACTGCAAAGGGTGGGGGGGGGGCGTTGTAGCAAATCTTTTAATATGGCGAAAAAGTGGAGAGTCACAGCCGATATATAAATGCATGGACTTATCTCGGGGGTATAGCTGCAATCGTTCTTTGTGGTAGGGGCTCGCCTTCCTAAAAAATTATAAAAAACTATTTGTTTTCTAACTAGATATTGTTGAGCAGACTGACGGAAAAGTTTTCATTCTATGGCCACCGTAGCAACTTGTAATCAAAGCAAATGATAACAAAAAGGTAAGCGGATTGGTTCTTCTCATGCATCTAAAGATCACCCTAATAAAGGTAGAAAATTCAAAGGTAAGCCAAAAACTGATACCAAGGGGCAGGGCCACCGAGAAGGAGAAAGGGGGCAAAGTGTCCCAGGGCTTCAAGGTCTAAGGGCCTTATTAAGTAATGAATTCCGTTTTAAAAAGGAATTAACTAAAGGTAACCAAATTATTCTTTCTGTGGCCCTGCCGAAGGGAAATTGATGAGTATATCCTTCACAAAATTTTGAAGACTGTTTTGCAGATTTTCCCAAATATTAAGAGCAGTCTTAGTAAAGAAACATAAATGCTCCGATCTACAGCCGACAAGCCTACTCTCTAATGTCATAGAAAATTGGTCCTTAATTTTTTCACTGACACAAGCCGCACGGGACGCTTTGTTCTTGACTCAAACCTCAGATATTTTAAGCAACTTAGAGGGCTGGTCCCGAGTGAAATTTACAAAAGTTCTGTCTGTTTTTCTTGTGCATTTTCGCAGCTTTATCAAATTTGATAACAATTTTCACCGGAGACGATAAAGAATCAACTAAAACAAAAAAGGAAATATTTAGTGTAAAAGAATATATCGAGGAGCGCGCATTTTTGGGGATACTTTTGCAAAGAAGCGTATTTTCAGCTCTTGTATCAGATTATGCTAAAAACTTTTGTCAATAGTAAATATGGATTGCTATACAATTCATGTCGTGACGTCATGACTCTAACCAAAACGTTTCCACTGTTTGAAGAAAATTAGGGACAAAACATGGTGCTTACTGAAAGAGAAGAAATACAACTCGAATGGAAGATTATCATTTTTGAAAGTGATGTTTCAATATCTACCAAAAAAGTTATTAGGCAAATTAACACCATGCGTATATTTACAAAAGACGGTATAAGTATACAACGAAATTTCACAAATATTTTATAACTTCGAACAAGCCACCATGGCTCGTCAGCTTTTTATTAATTCCTAAACAATATTAATATATTTTTTACAACGAAACAAATTATTGTTTCGAAATGTTAATCCTCCTCATCATCTTTTTCCGCGTCCTCGTTTCCACCTTCATCATCTCCGCCCTCGTCATCATCCTCCGCGTCTCCGTTCCCTTTGCCATCATCTCCTTCATCTTCTCCGGCATTTTCTTCATCTTCTTTTTCATTTTTCTCTTCTTCTTTATTCTCGTCTTGTGCAGCGGCATCATCTTTAGCTTCTTCCGAAGTATTTTCGCTTTCTTGCTGCGTCGCATCAGTGTCCTCCCGCTCCTTCTCTGCAGCAGCAGCGCGCGCTGCTTCTATTGCCGCGCGGATTCTCTTCTCGACTTCTTCGTCCAATTTTGTGTAATTATCATGTCTGTTTATAACCACATTGCGAATAATACCTGAAAACGTGCAGAAATGTCTTTCATCATATTTATCATTCAAGTATGGATTCAGAGAAAAAACAAACAGGCTATTGAGTGGATCATTAACAATTAATGAGGAAAAATTCACTAATCAATTGAAAATAATTGAAAGGATTTCACAGAGTATTGTAAATTAATTTTACACATTAATTTTTAAATTGTTTTAAGTTTTTTCTGGCAGTCTCTAAGGAACTGATTGGCCAAAGAATCAAGGCCAAAATCTGAAACGCTTCAACATATGAAAAGTTGCTTTAGATGCAACTTTGCAGTTTTGCTGACTTTTATAGTAAGAAGCACCAAGCTATTGTGTGTGTCTTCATTAATCTTAAAACTACCATCAGAAGGTACACTACAAACTACAAAGCAAAGCAAAGAGGGTAAAGTCTTATTCCCTAGCAACTGCATCCCTGTGGCAAGCATTTCCCCTGCTTATTTCAGTTTTCAAAGAAAGTAAAAAATTTCAGCTAATTTTGTTAAAGAGGAAATAGTACTGCATTTCTGTGTGCATTAGGTTTTGAAGCATTAGTGATCCAAAAACTGTGGTCAAATTTATTTGCTGTCCCTTCAAAGCCTCTTAACTGCATGAGTGATCATTCTAAACTTCTATTTGTAAAATATTTATGCTGTATACAGATATCTTTGAGGTTTTTACTGTATTCCTTTAACATTACTAGAAAAAATACATACTGTCTGCAATCTTTCGAGCCAGAGTTGCTTTTTCAAGCTGTGTTTCAACACTGTCCATCAACCAAGGCATGAAATATGTTTCAACATCTATTAAAATATAAAACAGTCGCAAAATAATACACTCAGTTCACAATAAATTTTTTAACAACAAGCTTCAGGCAGAAGTGGCAAAAATCAAAAGATAATGTAAACTAATTCTCTAGTTTGCTTGTTCTTCAGAGTATATACTTTCAATACCACCACACATCAAGCTTAAAATAGGCCTTAAAGGGATACAGACATGGTGCACATCAAAAATCATTATTACCTCTGTCAACAGGATCATAGAAGTATCCATTGTCATTTAATGTTCCAAACACAGAAGGTATTAGATCAGACAGATAGCTCTGAAAAATAGAAAGTGATTTAACTTAGAACTTACTGTACAGAAAAAGGAAAACATTGCTCAAAGGAAATCAACTTTGAGAAGTAAAATGTGACAATAAATTCCAAATTATAATGTTAATGGTAATAATTATCTTTTTGTCACTAGGTTATTAGATAATAGCCCTTCAGAAATCTTATAAAAGCTTGTGGAAAAACTTACTCCATGTTACACACAAAATCAGTCACTTATTATCAAACTAATATCATTAATATTATTAATATTATAATATTATTTTCCATTGTGTTCTTTCGGACCCTGATCCTAACATTTTATGATCTGAGGAGTGTCAGACGAAAAAGATTTTAGTATGTTGTAAAATGTTTGCTTTTTTCAAAGCCATTTTTAATATCATTAAATTAGTATATAAGCCTTACTATCTTACCTGTGCAAATGCTCTTGCAGCAATCTTTTCAGAAGTCTCTTTTTCCTTTTTCAATACTTCTAACTGTTGTCTCATCCTCCTTTGCTTTTCTTCACGATGTCTCCTTTCCTGTTCTTCAAGCCTCTGTGTTTCAACAAGCTCTGCATTACGCAGTTCTTCAAACCTACGCTGCTGTGCTCTAAGATTAGCTAATTCTTCTTCCTCCATAACTTCAAGTAGAGCTTGTTCTACGGTTTTTCCAACAAGAACTTCTAAGATTGGTTTGACTTCAATATCGAAATCAAAAAGCTAAAACACAAAAAGAAGAAAGGAAGATAAAGAAGAGTCAGCAGGCACAGAGAAATAATGGGTTGGTAAAAAATTAATTAATACCCAAAAATATTTGTTTGTTCAAACAAGGTAAAAATTCCAAAGACAAAGACAAAAAATAAGTTGAAACTTTATTATTTATTCACTAAAAATGATCCAAATCTGAAATGTTGAAGTGTCACACCATTCATAGAAATTAATTAAATTTTTACTAAACCACTGACAGTTAGAACTACCTTTAAATAATGAATTAATCATTACCATACAAAAATTTACAATTTACTTACTTCCCCCTCTAAAATTTGCGTAGAAACATCAACACCAGTTTTAGCTGGGATGAATAAAGGTGATGGAGGCCGATCAAGAAAAGCATCAGTTTGTGTGTGTACATCAGATTCTTCCACTCGGTCAGTTAATTCTTCTAAGTATAACTCGGTCTGAACATCGATGTGCTTCCTGCCCTCAACTGGCTCAGGTGTTCTTGGCTTTAACTGCTCCTTAGCTCTTTTTCTAGCAATTGCTCTCCGCTTCCCTTCTTGCTGCTTTTGAATTTCAATTGGATCAGGTTGAGCAGTCTTTAAAAAAAACATATATAAATATAAACACTAGGTTTCTTTTATTAGATACAACACATACAAATTTGGAAAATTGAATGATTTCTTAATGTGTACACCTTTGCAATTGTCTTTATTAACAGTTCAGTATGTTAACTTGAATTGAATTTCTGATGAAATTATCACTAAATATGTAAAAGAAAGAAGCATTTGGATAAATGTGTGAGAAGGAAGAACCGCAGGATAGGCTGTCCGCCGGATTCTGTGAATCTTGCAATGAGTGTTGTTATGAGAGATATACAGGAACAAAGCAATACGACAACGAGAATCCAATGTCCATGATAAAATTTTTAAAAATAAATTAAATTTAAAGAATATACTGGATAAATGTATGTTTAAAATCTAAATTTAAAACCCATGAAACTTACAGCAGGAAGGACATTTTGTGCATAAGTATTTCCTCTGACTATTCGTCTGTCGTACATAATATTGCCATATGGAGCTGGGCTCTCATTTTCATCCCTGCATTGACAAGAAAAATATATAACTTAAAAATTCAAAACAGTTTAGTATCTGATGTAGATATTTATAATAAATAGTGAATAAACACTTTAGGCTCTAATGAAAACAATTTAGCCAGACTGAACAACCTTTATAAACAAAGATGTCTGTTTTGTGCCCATCATGCTACACTTATCTAAAAACAATGAACCATATTTAAATAAATATCGTCTGTATTGTTATTTCCAGAAGGATTTTTGCAATCATCAATACTTTGTCATTGGTTGAAGTAGATGGAAGATAGGAAATCAACATCTTCAATCGTTTACTCCTAAAGTGGAGCTTTAACAATCAATAACTAACAAATAACAAAGAACGTCTCAAACCCACTATTGCTGTTAATGTCAATCAAACATGGGAGGTCTTAATTAAGCAGATTTCGAAAGTTGCCCAAATTAAAAATTAAATTCGCATTGATACGGTATTCAGATAACATTTGTCTTGAATTAGTTCTTGAAACTTTACACAAAATAAAACAGTACTATGCAAGCGACATTAGATAAAGTATTATACGGCGAGGAATAAAACCGTTAGGAAGCGACGGAAAGGCCTAAGCACCGAATAACTTACTCTAACGCGCTGGCATTTCGGTATTTTTTTCGATTCTGAACTGCCCTTGGTCGACTTGAAAACGTGTATGTTCCAGAACCATCCCTTCTTTGGGACATAACAGCAGCCATTATTAACGAGAATCAAATTTGAAACAAGCAAAATAACGTCAATTTTCAAAGATCATTGAAATGAAATAACTTGAACTTGATCGAAAACCTGCAACTAGGAATGCTCACAATAGCAACGGCATAGCAACAACGATCAATGCGGCTTTCCTGAAAAGAGATTAAGACTTACATGAAAAGGAGGTAAATCCAAAATGATTGAGAGAAGGTGGTGTCTACCATGTCGAAACATGGCATGATACAGAGATAAGAGCAGGAAGTGTCATATCTCGTCGAATATGGAGATGGATTCGGTCAATAGTGAAATAAGTTATCAGATTCCAGATCTTTTATCTTCAGAAAAGCTCATAAGTGCCCTTAGACAACGTAGAGTCATCCGCAGTGAAGAAGATGTTAGCTGTTTTGATAAAGAGGCACTTGTTACGCTTTATAAGAAATTTATTCTCCCTCTTCCACAAAGAAAGCAGTTGAGCAGATGTCAAAAAAGAATGTGCCCAAAAGAAATGATGAAATATTTGCAAAGAACTTCTGGCATTAAAAGAAAACACGAAAGGTAATACCTCGTGAGTCAAAAAAGTTACTTAAACATAACACATAACATAACAAAATACTGCACTGTAGGCTAACAGCCTGTTACAGATCGCAGTGGCGGATCCAGACTACCGCCATTACCGCTCGAGCGGTAGTCAGATTATTCAAAAAATTATAGAAACAAGGATCATTCTCATGTTTATCCTACTACTTTAATTAAACCATAATTAATTATTGAAAATATTTGATCGCGCTGCAAACTAAGCCTTTCTTCCTAGGAACATGCCTGAAATTTCCACAGAGACAGAAATATGTTTTAATCCATATCGCTGTGCCAATTGCCGAGCCACATGTTTGCAAATAGAAGGCTAGCATGGGGGGATGATGAAATCATGGCTTGCTAGCTAGGGGGGTTGAGTCGGTGTAGAGCGGATTCGAGCTGCACTGAGCGGTAGTCAGCTTGCCTAAACCAATCAAATCGTCAGAAATCACTGCCAACCTGGGGGGATGCATACAAATTTTGTTGACAACCAATGAACAACCGAGTTGACTACCGCTCAGATGGGGGGTTGAAGTAGTACTGCCGCTCAATGCGGCTCAAACGTTACAGAAAGATGGGGGGATGCCTACATATTCTGCAAGTGGGCAAACTGTAACTTCAAAGCCGATGTGACCCATTATTCTGTACAACACACAACTATTCGTAGGAAGTTATTTTAAAAGAATATTAAATTAAAAGTCAGGCCCACAATATTCACCAAAAGTATGATTCTTTGTTTAACAAAAGTTGCTCTCGATAATTGCAAATTTTATCTAGCTTTTTAAACTTAGCAATTTTCAACAGGTCTGATTTTCATAAGTAATTGTCCGACTAAATGCGAGTTTTAGGCGACACTTCGAAATTCTGCCAAATGTATCTTTTTTTCTAATTCGATTCTAATTCCTCGTCTAAATGCCGTAAATTTTTTTAGAATATCCATCCTCAGAATATTGAATAAGATTATTTATTTCTTCTCAAGCTTGTTGTAAGGATACATGAAATTTCAGTAAAGCACCGCTTGTCTCTTGAAAATGGTCTACATAAGAAATTATAGAAAGCAATAATCATTTTAGAAAACCGGGTGTGACCAAGAAATGGGTGTGGTTTAAAGGGTGTGGTCAACCCTCTATCTCATTTCAGCGGTAGTCAGATTTTTGGCTGGATCCGCCACTGGATCGTTAATATAAATAACCGGTTTTTGTTTTTCTAGGCAATGCTCCCTAAAAACATTTTTGTAGTTAAAAATAGAAACAGAAAACCTTAAAATATGGCTGTGAGTACTATGTAAAACACGGACTAAACAGACAATTGATCACATAAACATTTTGTGTCTCCATAATTATTGTCCAGTTTCTGTTTCAATAAGTTCAATAATTTGGCATGTAAAATGTTTCGTTAATGTTTTTTCCTTTCAATTCTTCATCCCAATCTATACCTCCAAGTTCATTCCTAATTTTGTCATAATGCCCTTTGCTGTATTTGGGTTTTGTTGCGATTGAATGATCCCTGATACTATAGCATTTGAACAGAAATGATATATCACTATGGTGTTATTCAAAAAGATATTTAAATATTTAGGTTAAACTGTGCCTTAATTTTTTTGCCACACAAATATAAATCTTTTGAATAATATTAATGGATAACATGTTGTGTAACCATATTGTGTGGAGCCTAATCTATTTGAATAATACAGCCTGTTGGGGTGCTCAAATTCTAGACAGGGCCCAGACTGCAAAGATTGGATACACAACGGCATTGTTGGGAAAGCAACAATTTTTTCCTCAAATCCCATTCGCCCATTTTTGCAAGTTTAGGTAAATCTGTCAGCGCAGCATGGACTTTTGAGTTTATTCTACACTCAGATTCACCATGAGTCTTATATAATTTGAAATAAAATCCTGCAGTTATTTAGAAATTAAATCTTGTTTCAGCACAAGAGTAAGTGGCTGAAAATAATTCCCTGTGCACAGAAAAAGACTTTGTCTTCTGGAGTGGAACAAAAAGATCAATTTTCTGAAAATCTGATAAAGGGAATCTAAAACTCTTGGCAAGCCATGACTTGAAGGAACTTATGGACTCTGGGTCAAGTAACTGAAAAATGATGGTGATTGTGTTGAAAATATGATACACAGGGAGATACCTATGGGTCCCTCATAAACCTGAATTTTTCTTATGTTCAACCTGATTAGCCCTCATACAACCAAGTAAACAACATCATCATCATCATCATCATCAAAATTACATTTAACGACCCATTGCGGGTTGATACAAATGTCTATGCATCTATCGTAGCTGTGCATCTACGCATCTACATGCAACCTAATAGATGCAATAATGACAGCTCCAGCAGTTTAACCAAACTTTGTGGAAATCATAACTTCTCCAGGCCTTTCAGTAAAGCTTGTACCAGGCCTTTCACCACATAACCATGCACCTCAAACTGAGAGGCCTGCTTCTCCAAAATTAAGTTTCTTGATATTCATTTCTGGATGCAGGGGTCTTTGGGTTTTGTTTTTTTCAAGATGCTGTCAATAACCTTATCCAAAATGCTCTTCTCAAGCTACTATATTTCTCTTCTCATCCTTCCACATCATTGCAGTCACTCGCTGTAGGCATTTAAAATTTGTTGTTTGTAATCTTATTTTCCATCTATCAACTTACAAAATAAGCTTAACTATGAAAATCCTTTCCCCAATGATACATGTAAACTTAATTTGAAAAACTCATGACAATATTAAAGGCCAATGACAGATATAAGACCAACAGGGATATAAATGAATTAGTGGATTGTAAATTGATCACATCTAAGATTAACTTTTGCTTAGTTCAACAATAAGAACAGGATAGAATACAATCAGGAATTCCTGAATTCCATTGTTTTGCAACAGTCACTTTGGTTTCAGTGAAGTGGGCTATTGATTTTTAATAAAAACATTAAAAGCTTGACTAGGCCATTTTGACTCAATCCTTGATGCTGTACTCATCCCATAAATATTTTGAAGAGTTTCTGTTGCAGCGTCCTTCCCTTTTCATTTGCTGGAAGGGAGCACTGCTACACACCCTACCCCTTTGTCATTGCTTTTGAGAAGATGTTAACTGACCGCTTGTCACATGCAGCATATAATGTAGAGATTTCTAATGATTCCATTGGTAGCTATTTATACATTGCTCTGGCCCCTGACTAAAGTAAACTTATATATATCCCTCAATAGAACTGATGTTTAAACCAATGCAGATTGTCATTAAGGTCCTGTCTTTTAAGCATCTACTTTGAAAGATTATTTCAAAATTCCATGGGATTTCCAATTAATTACTACATCAGGCGAAGTTGAGTCATCGTGAAAAAGACTCATTGAGGTTCTTTTCAAATTAACAATATCCACTGAAATTAACAAAAGGAAGCTTAGTTTTTAATTCTTTAATTCAATTTTTAATTTAGTGTCAAGATGATAGTTATTCATTCCAAATACCATCTTTTTGATTCATAATATTAATTTTCTTAATCTTAGCATCTAATTAAGTTCTTTCAGCAAGTTCATAACAACCAAATTCTTCTTGCAAGGATGCTGAAAGTTTGCTTTCTTGCAACTATGTACCATTTTATGCTGGCACTAGGATGTATTATGCTTACTGGTATTTGGTGCAAAGTATAATCCTACTTTGATGAGGAAAATGCCAGAAATTCTAGATCAGTATTTGTGAGATGCTGATCACAAATAGTGTAGACAAAAGAAGTTCGTTTTCGCCTTAGTGCTATTGAAATTTTGATGATTACATTGCTATGTTTTAGTTACCCCCGTCATGTGCTATCATTTCTGATTGGACTATTTCGATCCACAACTGGGTATATATTTTTCTTAGCGTAGAGTTTTCCATCTATGTTCTGACGTTTTAAACTATGAAGAGCGTCAGAAAAGATTTTTAGTTTACTCAAATATTTGCCTTTTTCAAAGCCATTCTCAAGTTTTGTACCACCAGAGGATTGTTTAGATCAGTATTTGTGAGATAGTCAATATGAATGATATAAAAGTTTTGATATTTTTCCTAACAATATTCAATATGCCACAAGCCTGTCAGACATGTTATTCGTAGGCAAGAATTACAATTTTCAAGACTAAATAATTTCAAGTTGAACTTTTGATAAGAAAGCAGCAATATATTCTATGAGATGCCTTGTATCATAAGAACATGATATGCTAATTTTCTTAATAAGAAAGCCACTAATACAGATACTGCTAAAAAATGTTATCTTACTCATTCCAGAAGTCGCATTTTCAGCAATATAAAGCCAGCTTGGCTGGTCAATGATTGTCATACCAAAATTGAACTTAACCTGTCTTATTGCTGTTTTTTGTGGGTTATAAAATAGTATAGTCTTCCCACAAGGTCTAAAATGCCACTAAATGAATAATACCTGCTATAAAATATCCTCTCTAAAAGCTCTGTAGATTCTTGGGATCGCATTGCATGAATATTTTGAAAACATTCAACTTCATGATTTGATTGGTTTCATGGAAATACTCACACATGTAAATACTATTCATATTTAACAGAAACAACAAAGAAGCTGATGACCCTGATTTGAAGCTGACAAAATATCAAGAGGTTGATGATCAAGTAAAAACGCCAAAAGATGAACATGAGAGAGACATTAGAAAGGCTAGCACTGTGAGAATCTCAACCAAGGACAATGCAGAAAAAAGAAAGCCTATAAAACTGAAACGAAAGCACTCTCACTCAAGAGAGACAACTGAATTCAAAAGGGAAACATCAGATGTTGACAGTATTATTTCTGTTTCTAGTTCACTTGAAGAGGAAAACGCCAATCTTAAAAACAGAGAAAGGTGTGAGGAATCATAAAAAAAAAACAAATCATGCAGTTTGCTCAAAAATAAAAGAGTAAAACTGGATTAAATCTTAGCTTTATGTACATATTCATTAGAACCTTTTATAATCATAAAATTAGAAGTAACCTTTTTAAAATACAGTCTGAATACCAATTCTGAGTGCATATCAGTGTACTGCAGAACATCAAAAGAAAAATAGTAGGGTTGGTATTTGACCTTCATCAAAGCTTGTACCATTTGTGGACTCTCCACTGTTCTCAAAGCTGAACTTTACTCCTTCAGTAACAACTTCTGATTGACCCTCGTCCCCACCAAAAGATGGAGGGCCTTCTATCAAAAGACAAAGTGAATAAAATACATTTTCCTTTAGCTTCATGGGTTCTTCATCGAACAGAATGTCAAATATCTGTGGTGATTCAACACTGCTAAACTCAGGATCAGGTGGGCATGTGAATGTTGCTTCTAAGGTTAATATAACTTCTGATTCCTCTGATAAGACAATATTGACGGAATATTCCCCACCACAAGGTGAACCATACAATCCAACACCAGCTAGGTGAATTTCTTCACTAACTTTAAACCTGATGCCATCAATATCTCTTTCATCATATCTCCATAGGTAATTGCGCATTACTTTCCTGTATCGCTGACATGAAAATGGTCTACAATCTCTTTTTGTCAATGAAAACTTATGTGTATCAACTATACCAGCATTCAAGTAAATAAATATATCTTTGATATCTTTAACATCTAAAACATTGGATCTTGCCGGACCCTCTGCAAATTCCTTTGCTGACATAACAGGAAATCTAATCAAGTTGATCAGGTCACCCAAAACTGTCTTCTCATTGATATCATTGACTTCAAGGCCAGATCTCAAGCATTCTTTCTCCGACCAAGCTTTAACAGCATGGAATAAATCAATTTCATTTATCGTAAGGCTGTCTTTTTTAAGGATAGAAGTAAGAAGTGATTTTTCAACCTCCAAAAATGCTTCAGTGTTTACAGCAGCAAGTGTTTTACGAGAGACTAGTGACCAACAGTGTCTCTCTAACTTTTCTTCAGAAAAGCATCTGGCGCAATGCAAAACCTCAAGCACGTTATCAATTGTGATGTTCTCCATCAAGTATGAAATACATTCTTTCACTAAAACGGGTATTATATACTTTTTTGCCAGATAAAGGACACCCAAAACACTATTAGAATTCAAATTGGCTTGGTCACAATAGACAAATCTTAGAAATTCAGTGAACGATTCTGGATCACAATCCTTGACGTCAATAACGTCGGTGTTCTCGGCGAGCTCTCCATATAACATGGCGAAGAATACGGGGCTAGCCGTAGCGAGGACATATTTATGTGCATATATTATTTCAAAATTTTCATCAAATTTGCCTACTTTGAACCTAACGTCACTAAGAAGTTCACTCTTGAACATAAACTGATTTCTTTCCCGAACGTTAGCGCGAGATGTCTGCCAGTGTTTATCATATGTCTTTACTGGAACGGATTTCTTTTTTTCATCTACGGAGCATGGCGGAGATGTTGACTGGATGTTTTCAGCTACTCCGTTGAGACATCTAACAATGCACCTTGCCGTCTGAACAGTTCTGTCGTTGATTGAAGTGAGAAGCAATGGCAAGTCTGGACTCACACTAGATACGCTTTCTGCGTCCATGTCGTCCAAAACAAAACAACACAAAGTTGGAGCCTCATCCTGAACAAGTCTCGTTTTCCTCCATGACGTGTCTATGGATTCACTCTTTCTTTTATCAGAGTTTTTACAAAATTTCGGTGGTCCTATCACAAAATTAAAAAGCAATTGATTTTTTTTCAAATTTTTGAAGAATTTTCGTGAAAATATGGTTGGTAGGTAGACATAAAAATCTAGACACAGAATGAATATATGCTTACCCCATCTTCTTTCAGCTTTACAACGGAAGTAAATTTCTTGACAGAAGTAAATAGAATACAAACACCGAGAAATGATTTTGTTTGCAACTCCAAAACCCTCACCATCTCCAACAGGTTTCTGTTTAAATATTTCCTAGCATGAATTTTTTCAAAAAGGGCCCCAATGCCCCAATTAAACGTACCATTTCAGTTGTCAATAAGAAAACCCGACTAGCTCCTTATGATGGGGTCACGCTGCTAATATACTGTTTTGCATCTTTTTTCGCCAATTAATAATTCTATTACTTCTTGATTTATTTCATTATTATAGGTAATAACAAAGTTCGGGTACAGTATTTTAGAAAGATGGCATGTTAAAATCAATGATATTATAGTTTAGAAACTTTTTAGAAAAAGGAGTATTGGAATTTTCTAAAGCATCGTGAAACTGGAATACTTAACGTTTACTTTTGCTTCCGCTTTGAAGACGACTGTAATTCATAAAAGATTAGAAAAAGAAATAGTTGTCATTTTCAAAAGGCTGAATCGAAGGTGTATTAAAGGACAGTTTCGGTCTGGCATCATAAATGCAAGGTCATTAGCAGGGGCTTAGGAAACATAGCAAAATATTCTGGCAAAAGCTCAACTTTAATAGAACACTTTCGAGTTTTCGGCGCCCTATACAAGCTTTGGCGCCCCTATGAAAATGTCAGCTGGGGGTCTCTGGCCCCCCCGGCCCCCATGCCCAGGCCGCCACTGCAGTGCAGATCCCAACCTGAAGGAATAACAGCTTCAATCTAGTTGGGGATTCTGGAGCAGAAGCTATGATTTCGGTAATAGACCCCCCCCCCCACCAAAAGACAGCTAGTTCTTCTGAAAATGAATAATTAATTCAATTTGGCATAGATATATCATATTTTTCGTGCATGCCAATGAAAAGAAGCACACAGAGAGATCAGCACTGATACAAAAATGGGTTTTATATAAAATTAAAAGGGGTTGATTGCAAGAAGGAATTAGAAAAAACCAATTAAAATGTAGTATCAAAAGTTAGATAAAAAGAAAAAGCACACTAGATTCAGTTGATCTTAACATCCAGGCAGCTAAATTACTGTAAGTTATCTTTAAAGCCCCCCCGGGGGTCTTATTGTTTTTCAGTACTTTAAAGGAGGCTTTATAAGAGAGGGGGGGCTAAATCGAGAGAGGAACGTAATACATTTTTTGTAATAAAACCATTTATAGTGGTAAACTATTTTTTTGTTATTTGCGAAATAAAAAACATAAAATTAGCCTTCATTATCAATAATATTGTCATCGTCATCAATTATCAATTCTAAAATATCTTCTTGGGTCATGTCACCTTCTGAAATCGAGCATTCGAAAAGGTCGACTTCATCCCACGGAGTACCAACGGCCTGTCATTTTGGTAAAAAGCTCTCACATGGCCCGTGCTTAATGCACATTACACTCTTGTTATTTATAAGAACCAGTAAATTTAAGTTCAGGATGACTGTTCTTAATTTTTTCTAAAATCTGAGGCTGGATTGTTCTTAATTTGTTTTTAATCTAATAGGGTGTAAGCAGTGCGAGTGTTAGCTTTTTCGCTCTAGGGAGGTGCTCAGAAGCTCAGCCTCAGCTTGTTCTTAATTTGTTCTTAACTTTTGACCAGTTTTGCGGCTCTTGTTCTTATAAAATTGTTCTTGTAAAAAAAGAGTGTAAATCTTTGTTTTCGGATCTGCCGTGACTAGAAGAGACATGGTGTGAATTTTGACTTGATGCGAAGTATTGAACGACCAATGAATAAAATGAAAATCTATGTTTTTTGTCAAGTTTACTTATTTCAGCATCAGTGACAGTTTTTTTTTGGTGGGGGGGGCTAAATTGTTAGGGTAACTTAATTGAGAGGGGTGCTAAAAAGAGAATTTACAGTAAGAGGTTAATAGTTAACTAAAAATCACCAACAGTTTAGATACACTTTTCACAAGCATAAACTTAAGCAAATTTAGTTTTCTTATAGTATTGATCATTAAAATCTTTCTTGGAACTTAGAAATTGTGGGTGTATTTTTCTTATCAATTTATATTCAGTCTCTTTCTGATTCAACAATATTTGCCTCATTAGCATTCAAATTTTTCTATTCTAAACTTTCATCTACACCTTTTGACACTCAAAGTCAAGAGCATGGATTCTAATGTCGAATGCATGAAGTGATTATTATTATGATTATTACCTTAGGGCTAAAAGAATGGGAACTAGACTAGCCCCAGTCCTTCGAACGCGGATCCATGTTGCATGGTGTCTCTCTGTCTTTTCCCCTTGAAACGGTCCTAAGTACGAGATGGGCTTCGAGAAGGTAAAGCTTACTTCAGTCTAGTCTTTGAATAAATTTTCTTGAAGTAAAGTATAACAAAGCCCCTTTGATGTGATATCCACAATTATAACCAAAATTTAAAGCTTACTAGCGTTTAAGTAGATTCGTAACAGAGTAACTTCGAACCGCCTTGCATTTAGGCCCAACACAACTTTTTTATTGCGTTTCTACTGCTATATTTTCCTTCTTGTGTAAAACTTACATTTATTTATGAATCCAGTTTTAAGCTTCAATGTATGAAATTATATGGGGCTGATTTTGTTAGGTTCCCTTCTTGACCCCGTTGCACATGGCCTTAAACGAACATTTTTGTTGCTAATTTTTTAACCCTATTTCAGCAGAATTGATATTTCATGTCTGTTATTCAGGTAATTGTTATTGATGGAGCAGGCCATCTCCTTGGTCGCCTGGCTTCCATAATTGCCAAATCAGTCTTACAAGGCCAAAGAGTAGTTGTTGTTCGTTGTGAAGACATAAACATCAGTGGCAACTTCTACAGAAATAAACTGAAGTACCTCGAATACTTGAGAAAGAGGATGAACACTAAACCATCAAGAGGTCCATACCATTTTAGAGCTCCAAGCAGAATGTTGTTCAAGACTGTCAGAGGTTTGAAAACAGTTTTACTCACTCAATAAAATCAAATATATTTTTCAAGGGTCAATGTAGTTCTGCACACCAAAAATTGAATTCCATTGCAAATTTACAATAGCATTATTATAGAAAAATTCTGGTTTTGCCTGCCATATGATAGGTAAAATGAGGTTTGCATGCCTTAAATGTGTCTGAACAGTATGCAAAGCATGGTGCACCCAAGACAAAGATATGGTATCATTGAGGGTTCACCAGAATACTAGCTTTATTCGAGATAAATATGGACAAATAACAGTTCGAATTTTATAAGAACATGAGCCTTGAGATTTGTCAGAATTTAAGAAAAAATTGTAAACCATCTGATGTACTACTATAACTGTAATTTTGAAGTTGTTAAACCTTGGTAAAAAGACCTTTTGAAAAACAATTATTTTTTTCATCAGCTAGGGGTGCTTTGTTTAGTCAATTTTAGTGAACTTGTCTGCAAATAAAGGATGGGTCACTCACTTGTTGGCAAACAGGGTCAGGATTTGAAAAAATAACCCTGGCTAGACTAAAATTCCACAAAAACTCTAAAACATGCAAGCCAAATTGTCACTATTGGCCTTGTATTGTCAGAACCAGTAATAACAACCAGTCAGAGCTTCAATCTACCTAAAAAGGTGCCTTGTACTGGTTTCCTAAAGGTAAACAACTTGGTCCTGAAAATAGGAAATCTTGCAATTCGACTGGGTATCAGTTTATGATCAAATGCCAATCAAACAAAACTTTTAATTCAGGATTTGAGAAAATAACCCTTGCTAGAATAAAATTCCACAAAAACTTCAAAACATGAAAGCCAAATTGTCATTATTGGCCTTGTATTGGGCAGTGGGGGCTTGGAGTAGAAAAATATTGGTATCAATCTGCTGAATTTGAGAAACTAAGCACTGACCCCTGGAGTCTCCAAATACGCTGATGTCCCCTTTGAAAATTTTCTTATTAAATTTGAGATTTTAGTCGTAACTATCCAGTTAGTCTTGGGTGAATGATGTCTCCTAGGAAGTACACAAGGATGATGGCTACGGCCAAATACATGAGCGAATTCTTGTTTTTAAAGAAAGGCTTTGTGCCTGGTGCTAAAGCCCCAAGGTATTAGCCCATTATTTCCAATACCATGAGGCTTTTGCCCGCCCTGTGAGTAAGAGCTTCTACTACGATACACTGAGCCATACACCATAAATATGTACAACACAAGCACAAAGGATTTCTGATTAAAGTTGGATATGAACATTGCCCAGGTAGATTTTAATGCTGCATGCCACGCTGAATCATAATTTCACGCGCAATTTATAAAACAGTCTGACTTAAAAATCAAACCAATGGGCTTGAAGTGAATTCATGACTGTTGTTCTTTACATCCAATGTCTAAATTTTGTTAATAAAATTATCCACGAAAAGGTGTGGTAGGTCAGGCCTTGCCCGGAAAGGCGCTCGATCGAGCGCGCGCGCCTAGAGCGCACCCAAAAAAAGCCTTGGAGAGCGATTTATAGAGCCCCTCAAAACGTAAAAACAATATTAACACGGAGCAAAATAAATTTTTGGAATTTGTTGAATCAACTTGATCAAGCATAAACAATCTTCCCAACAGACCGCAATATTATGATTTGTGTAAGATTACCCTTTGAGAAAAAATTCAGCAAATTCGACGTTGGGTTTTCGATATCATTTTTAATCTAATAACCCTCTAATAACCATCAAGAATACAGGCCATCAAGCGTATTCTCCGGCAGATTTATTTGATTTTTGAGCAAGCGCTAATCTTGTATTGAAGGAAATATTATTTTCTGTTTTTCTTAATAACTTAAAATCGCCTGTGCAAATCAGCGATCACATTTCCGTCCAAATTATCGCATTGCTTTTCATTTGCTTTTGCGAGTAGTAGATGTTCTAGCGTTTCTATAGAATGGATAACATGAAAAAAGGAAACAAAGTTAAATGTTCGATTTAAAGCCATGCGTTTTGATGAAGCAATATGTGAAGCTGAACATAACAGTAGTGATACTGACACTGATAAAAGCTCATCGCATGATGGCAACTTACATATCTAGAAAAATCTGAACAATTTTGCGACTTTGTTCTGTTATATTTACATAAACATAGTGTTTGTTGCATGTTTTGTTATTTCATGTTATGGTGCTTTCTGGTATCACCGTTGAATTTCATATTTAACATTCTTCCGAAGCTTTTGATATGAAGCTCTCGAAGGATGCTCTCAAGGAAATTTACTTAGAGGTGCGAAATAGAGCGCCTAGAGTTTCTAAGGGGCTTTTTTTATGGAGCACCTTCATTTTACTTAGAGCAAGGCCTGGTAGGTGCAAATATAGCTTGGATGTCTGAATACCGAAAAAAGTCCAAAAAAGTGGCAGCGTACAGAAGAGCAGAAGAATTTGCTTGCGATTTTAGAGCATGAAAGTTTCATTTTTTCTGAAAATTAAAATGGTATTAGACTCATACCTTTAATACCACCCAATGCCACCCCTGGTATTGAGAAATGACACTTTTCAGCTGTTTTATGTCAACTCATAATCACATCAAGGCACTTCAGCCACAGTTAATCATGGTAATTGTGGTATTTTCATTCAACAAAGAGAGGCAATGTTGCATAAATTAAACAATATTATAAGTACTCAGATCAACATATCTCAATTTTTTATGTCTTTGCAAAAGTCAGTATATATATATATATATTATTATTTTTAAATATTTGTTAAATGCAGGTATGATCCCTCACAAGACGAAGAGAGGAATGGAAGCTCTAAACAGGTTGAAAGTGTTTGAAGGTATCCCACCAGAGTTCCAAAAAAAGAAAAGAATGGTTGTCCCTGCTGCTCTCAGAGTTTTAAGGCTTAAGCCAGGAAGAAAGGTAATCATTTTTTTTGAAGTCACCTGCCCTTCTTTTCAATCATTTTCTCAGACTTGATCATTTCAAAGATTTTGAAGGTAATAAGCATTTTGTCACAAATGTAGTTGACAGGCAAAAATTTCACATCCAGTTGATAAAAACAACTGAGCAATATAAGTTTGCATTGAATTATTAGGATCCATATACATTCAATGCTTCATTTTTAATAACATTTTCATAATCACATTGTTGCTTAATTTCCCGTCTTGGAGAACGTTTAGTCTTCAAAACTTAACGATTATGCATCCAGTTTTGATATGTTAACAGTGACGAATGGCATGAAAATAGGATGGTACTAGTAAAGCAAGAAAAACTTTAGCAGAGAGAACCAGCTAGAGGAAGGGTGGCACAGGGGCGTGGTCCCTGGAAAATACTCATTTTTGTAGCTAATATGGCAAATTTGTCTTTTAATGGCATGTCAGAAGTTTTCATACAATACTTCCGTTTGCTTGACATTGTGTGATATGGCCAGCTGCAGGGGTTAAATGGCCTCGCAGCATTTATCACTAGAAAGCAGAATCTAGTACTGCCAACGATTTTTTCATTGTTGGATTGTCAAAAGACAAACTGTTTTACCTCATGTTGAGTCACAAATGACAATGGGACGGACTTCTGCAGTACAGGATAAATGAGGTCTCTAGTACCATGGTGTACATAAATGGTTTATTCAATGCCAATATTTCAATGAGAATCAAGATAAGGAGGGTCAAAATTAAGATCTGGTGTATTCTGCTGCTCTTCCCTTTTTTCCATAATTCAATTATCATAGAAAAAAGCAAAATCATACAATACAAAAATATTTTGAGCTTTCAAAGTAAAATGGTGCTAGACTGGTACCACTAGTACCGCTGCAAGCTGCCACTGTATGTTAATAATTGAAAGAAGAAAACTGTTAAACAAACCTTCTACTTGGCAAGTTACTTTCTAAGATTGATAATCAAGAGAAGCTAGAGGCTTTGATAACATCAATGTTTTAAATGTGTTCCTTTTATATATCTGTTTCATGAAATGTTGCACTTTTTTTTGCTTTTTTCTTGCAGTTTTTCTCCAAAGTCGATGCAAATAATTTTTTACCTAAGTAAATCCTCTTTAGCTGTTGCTTTTTTTATTTCATTGACCCTTCATTGGACTTTTTTATCTTCTGGACCATAATAAGTTATACAAACATTTTTATGCTGCAGTTCTGTAGACTTGGGCGCTTGTCACATGAAGTGGGATGGAAGTACCAGGATGTTGTCAAGACTCTCGAGGACAAACGTAAAGCCAGGTCTGCTCTCTATTACGAAACAAAGAAGGGTCTTGAGGTTAGAATCTAGTCTTGTTTTTGCTTTTACTTTAAATGAAAATATGCTAAGTGGATGAAAAGTATTATTCCAAAAATTTGGAAGGATTCAATTATAACATCTCCTAACTGATGAATTCTAAATTATTAAATATAATATATAAATATATATATAATATTATTGAAAGAAGTTGTTACAGTTGATCATGACTTTGCCTTTCATGTAATTTTTGTATATGTGAATGCTCAAAGTTTAGAAATAAATAAAAGGCAATGATAGCTCTGCATGATTTACAATGTGTAATTAATTTCAATTCAGTTTTTATCCAAAATTGTTCAATTTATTGTGAAAAAAATTGTCAAAAATTAACTGAACTACAGAATTTTTGCAAACAACATTAGAAAGCACAAATTTTTAGTGAATTGGTTTTAAGATAATTTGAAACATTTTACAAGTTGCCTGATATTTTACATGATGTGTCTTGACAGTTTTAATTCCATTTGAATCTTAAGAAAACTAGATTGTTTTGGATCTTTTTAAAATTAAACTGATAAAAACATTGAAGTGGAGTGAAATTTTTCATTAGGTTTTTCAGACATTAACAGCTCTACTCAGTTATATTTATATATGCTGTGGTATCTTTGTTGCACGCATTGAGCCATGCTTCTTTAACACCCTGACCAAACCTGTTTTTCTACAAACATCTTTGTTATCAACTTTCTTTTCTTGTTATGTCTTTTTATCCTTTTTCAAGAATTGAAGTCCAACTTAATGACTTTTGTACTTTTATTGCATTCAGTTTTTTTTTTGACCTGCCCAGTATTTCAATTTTTTTTGTCTAGCCAGTCCATTTCTATGACTAATGTTTTCTGTCCATCAACAAAATTATAAGGTGATAGTAGAACAGAGAAATTATTATTCAGAGTTCTACTAATATTTGATTTTGTTTTCTAGCGTCTAAAATCAAAGGCTGAGGTTGAGAAGGCTACTGAGCTCAAGGAGGTCAATGCAACATTGGCTCAATATGGTTATTGATCCATCAATTATTATAAAATATAGAACATCTCAAATATTGTGCTTCTTTTTCATTGTTCCTTTCCTGACTTGTAAAAGCACACAAAAGATGTTCCATCTAGCATGTCTTCATTTTCCCTGTAGTTGCTATGCCTCTTGCATTATGGATCAATTTTTCAGATAAAGTGTTTTCTAAAGGAAGCTTCCCTCTTCCTTAGGGATTTCTCATACATTTCATAATCAGTTAAGAGTAAAGGAGAGATTCGCCTTTCAAACATTTGCGGAAATGCATTTGATCAATCAAAAGTCTTTTACTTTTGTACACTGCATTAGAGGATGATTTGTAAAATGGAATGAAATTGTAAGCAATAACATTAAAAATCAATTTTTCTTGCAAAGTGATAGTATTCATTTCGTATTTTAGGGGTAGGGACATCAATGAGTCATTAAATTTTTTAATTACATTTGGGAATGGGGTTGTAACTAAGAAAAGCTCCCTTGATTTGTGAAATGTGACTACCCTAATTTTAGTAGAGGAAACTGGGTTTATTACGGTGTAAACACAAAAACCAATGTGGTGGCCTTTTCATGATGACATTTCCGCAACAAGACATTACGTAGGACACAGGATTTGACTCCTTGTTGTCAGATGACGAGTGTAGGGTCAACCTTCCGAAGAGATAACTGTCTGATGACGTCATATTGTTGATGTTGCAGAAATAACTCAAAACTTGTAAAAAAGACATGTGTCATAGAGAAATGCTTTTTCATTGTAACTTTTAGCGTAAAAGTGTTCATGATATACACGAAGATTTAACTCAACTACAGTAAACGGGAAAGTCATTACAATTCCCACGTTTTTATGATGTTTCGTTATTTTCAATAACAACAAAGCACTGTATGCTATTAACACAAAATTAGTCCACATTATAAAATCCGGTCGAGTCCTTCATTTGGTGGACGTAAATGCAAACACAACTCTTGCTAATATCGCATTAGCGAAGAACAAAATCAGTTTCGATTTCCAGGTACCATTGGTCTTTCTTCGGTCGGAATTTGTCGTCCGTTTTTCGAGGGAAGTCCAGGAAGCCAACCCCTCGCTTAGGCTGCCAATTTACATCTTCGACGCTTCTCGGTGTTGACCAATTTCTGAACAACCTTACGTTCGTGTCCAGACGGGCTAGGCCTGTTTGTGTTCAGACTTGCCTCCCGCTTGGTCCGTCCCTTCCTTGTCTGTGGCTCAACAACTCTGCGGTCGAAGTTGTAGTAGTCATAGTCGAAGTACTGCTCCATAACTTCTTGAAAGAATTCGGATGACTGTTATGAGTATATTCAACCTCTTACGACTTGTTTTCTCCAACTCGAAGCTTGTTTGAGATACGATACAACCACAATTTTTTTTAACCTTGTTTTGCACTAACGGTTGCTCTTGATTGGTTAAAAATAACAATAGCAATGTCTCCTGTGATTGGCGGAACGGTCTGTCCGTTCAATACCAAACAGTTTACAATATACAAAGGAACAATCAAATGCTCATTTCACGTGTTAGATGTCTGCTTTCGCGTCACACATCGGCGGGTTGCCATGCAATAAACAGCTGGTGCTACAAACGAAAGTTTTGTTTTCGCTAGGATCACAGGTGCATGTGTGTATGTTCCATCACGCTTCGTGGTGCCTCAGGAAATTGTACATTTTCTATTCAATAAATCAATATTGTCTTTTCTTTCAAAACATCGCAACCTGATTATTGGGCAAAATAAAATTAGTGGCTAAGATAAGTTTATTATGACAATTTATATTTAGAGTTTTTGAAATTGAAAAATTCCAATTCTGTCAAAGATTACATTCAAATTTTGGTTCTTCTCTCCAAAAGGTCATAGCATTTGTTATCGAGATCGCCAAGGGTACCGGAAGTACGAGGGGGCAGACTAACCAAAGGCATAGAAATGTAGCTGAGGGAAATTAGCCGAGTAAAAATAATGGGGTTCGGGGGTGCTCCTCCGTAAATTTTTTTGTTACCACACTACAGTTAGGTGGCTAAAAACAACATCAAATTATATTTTGTTCCAATTAACTTCGAATATATCGAAATTTTATAGCAATTTTCTCTGCTTCGAGTTCGACTCTATTTTCTTTTGAAATTATCTTTTCATGCAAAATGTCTAGTCGTAGACAAATCTTCGAACTAGAAAAGGCGAAGGGAGGAGAATATTTTCTACTATCCAAAGGAACCTTATGCTATTTGCCTATCTTGTTTAATGCGCCAAGGGTAAAATTTTGTTTTCCCCCATTAATATTAGACTAATTTTTTTTATAAGAAACTGACTATAAGAAACAAAAAAAATTTAGAAACTTCAGCACTCGAAGCAAAAAAATTAAGAAACTATTAAATTGTGATAAACTGAGCACAACGAAATTTTGTAAAATACAAGAACAAGATTGTCCTGTTAGCCTAGAACTTGAGACACAAGGGATAAAAATATACTTCCCACATCTAAATACAGCATCGGAACGGAAGCGAATCTCTTGACGTGATAAAAAAGGTAACGAACATTTCATAACATCATTCATGACATCATAGTTAAGAAACTATTAAGAAACAATGAGTATTGAAATTTCCAGAACATTAAGAAACTGGAGTACTCGAAATCGACCTTTGTTTCTTTAAAAAAAATGAGTGTATCAATCTATTGGTATCTAAAGCTCTGATAGGCATGAATGAGATGTAGGGAACCTATGTAAAGGATAGCCATGCAGCATATTCTACTTGCCAGAATTTTATTACACTGTGAACAAAAATACACTTTTTGCCCCATCCCCTGCGCCCTCTGGCCAAGGGCACAGGGGGGGGGGCAGTTACCCCCTCTGTCCCCTTGTTCCGGCACTTATTATCGCTAGAGATCACCACGAGAAACTTGCTTGACTCCATTGATCCTTTACTGCTAACTCTCAAGAATACAAGCTATATCGAGTTAAATGTAAGCTATAGTGTGTTGATCAGAGCTTAAATAATAAAAGTACAATAGGCAAACACGCCAGGCACGCCGATATCCACGCTGGGCCCAGGGGCGGGCTGGATTCCATGGCCCCCTCCTACCCAAATCAATGAGCCTAGGATAATTTTTATTTGGATTTAAAAAACACGTTAAGTCCTCTCTATTCATTTTCAATTCGCATTTATAATACATTGTAAAACTTTTCCGTTACAGATAACGGTTTCTTTTCTAAATAATTGTCAAGCGCCATGTATACAGCTTTTTTATAAGAATACTATAAACTTTGTCCAACCTAGATATTCTTAAGAAATTTTGGTTTTTGAGCCTGATTTAGTTCATAAAGTACCCTCAATATTTTAAATTTGATAATCTGATCTAGTTTCAGGGGAACGTTGCCCGACCCTGGAATAGAAGCCACGCTTTTTAACAACACAAGATGTTCACTCAAGGAAATCTCTGTTATGAACTTCGCAAAACAGGCAACTCTTGAAAAATGAGACAGAAAATTTCAAGCTGAGGCTGAGCAATATTACTCTAATATTCTTTAAAATTAGATTATTCTAAATATTCTTAAAAACAATATTCTTACAAAAAAGAATGCATCGAATTGAACAGAACAATCAAACTCATAAAATCCTAAATAATAAGCGAATAGTGAGAAAAAACACAGCATGCACTACTATGGACAGGGCATTTTTAATGATTTTTAAGTGGTGGGGCATTTTTCAAAAGGGCCCACGCTTAAAGACACTGCATACGCTAAAATCTTGGCTTGTTTCAAGAGCTAGATGGGTTGCTTCCAGGGCTAGAAAAATTCAACAAGTTTGGCAATTTCGTGGCTCACCTAAGATAATTAATTTTTTGCTGAATCTCCAACGAGTTTCTAAATCCTAATAATATTTCGTTCTCCTCGAACTCTATAAGAACATTTGGGGTAAGTGACAGACTTCCTTCAAATACCCCGTCCTTATTGATGTAACCCCTTCTTTGAAGCCTTGATTTCGACAAGGCAAGCCAGAAAAAAGAGACATTTTTATGCAAATTCAAAATTGTTAAAGGGAATTATGTTTTTCTGACTTTCAAAAGAATCAAAACTTTTGTTCATTGCAACTCCTGTATATTTGTATGTAGCATCTTGAAACATTTACACGTATATAGCTTACATGCATCTATTCTAACCCAAGCAATCAGGGGTGCGAGAGAAGTGCAAACAAGAAAAAGTACCAAACACTGTCCAGATGTAAAAAGAGCAGCCTTTTGCAGTTTGACTAACAGGGAACGCCCATTTACCAACAAGGAATGTCGATTACTGCATCTTTATCTAATAAAAAGAATTATAAGATTTTTCTCAACATTTGGAATTATAGTTCACGATATCTCAAACGAGTTCCCCCTATTTCGTAAACGCACGAGAAAAGGCTGATACATTAACTACTAAAAATTTCGTCGTGACAAAATTTTGGACAAATATTTTGACGAAATTTTCTTCGACTAAATTCAAATTGAGACAAAATTTTTTACATTGAAGATCATTTTAGAATTCGCATAGAAGAACTATTACATGAGGTTAGGAGTCAAATTTATGTATCCTTCTGATCTATTCAATGTCAATAACTTCATTTTCTTTATTAACATCTTTTCTTCATAATTATCTTTACCGTAGACATCATCATCATCATTGTCGGTTCTTGAACTAACTTCATTTTCACCATCAAAATCAAAAGGGGGCAGATGCCACCCCCAATGGCAAATATTTTCTTTGAATAAGGGGGTTTTCTTGGGTCCAAAGGGGTATGGACCTACTAATACATACTAATACTTTGAATTATACTCTGTTTGTAAACTTTCATGCCTTATAGATATAGGGTAGAGACTCATGCTAAAATCATCTCTTTTGACTCCACCTTCGTATAAACTGAGCAAATATAGGGGAAATATACCGCTTTAATTTGGTTTTCTTGACGTGCTGCTTGAGGAAATGAGCCAAGACGGGTACCCCCCCTCGTTCCGGTATCTATGGGATTCAGGGGTTATTCTAACGTGGTTTTGTTACTGTTTTGTGGCGTTGAAAGTTTAATTTATGGTGTCGTGTTTTCAATTTTGTGATGTTGTAAAAAAATCGAGCCTATGGAAAATTGTTCGCAAAATATAAGGAATCGTTTGGTAAAACTGTAACAATCTCAAATCAAAACAAAAACTTATCACAACAGAAGGATTATAGTATTCTGCCAGTCCTGAATCTTGAAACTTTTTACTTTTGATCTTGGCTATTTATTCTCTTCGTGTAGTTCGTTCAGGTTAACACTTTCTATGTCCGTGTACACCCCTTGAACTAACACTGCCGTTTCCTTTTCTCTATTAGCTTCTGCCTTTTCTCCCTCGATTTCAGCCATCCATCACAGAATTCAAATGAGACTTGGACGAGGACCCGGAGGGTTTGCTTAATACACTGACTACCCGGTGATGTCCTTGAGTTTCATTTTAGGCTGAAAATTCCGGTACTTTTTGTATCTTTTTTCTGGCAGAGGTATGCCCATCAAAGATACTTTTTCCAGGACAGTTCAGATTTGTCATGAAAATGGAAGTGTTGTCCATTCTTTAGCTTTATTGTCTTAAAACTCAAATTTGAAATAAAAGCTACTATTCCAGGAAAGATTCCATGTTTACAGAAAATTTTTCCAAGGAAGGGTCAACAAATTATTGTGTAAGGCAGTTCCACGTAAATTTTTCTCCAAGGTAAACCCCCGACCCAATGGGATGAGGGCTCCACATCTCCAGCACTTGCTAATTGAAATGCACACGTAGGTACAGATTTAGTGTGGTACAAATAATAATGATTCTGCTGTACGTGGATGTTTTCGAAAGATGCATGCATTCATTAGCCACCAAACATTAAACAAATGCGACTCTGCAGCTAGCATCCTAGCCAACGCATAAGATACGGATATACACTTATGCCAGTTTCATACATTTCATTACGACGTCTGTAGAATTGACTACTTCTTGATGGTATAATGTCCCGATCCGAGAATATCCTATCATGCACTTTAATATGTCTCTGATACAGGTATTTTGGTGCCCTTACCTGCCTGTTTCTTTGTCTAACAAGGTTTTTAGGTTTTCTCAATTACCTACCAGTCATGTCCATAGATTCTAGGGGCTGTGCCCCGCTATTCGGACCGAGTTTTATTGCTTTTTGAGTATTTTCATCCTTATTAGATAAAACCACATCACCCTCTACATTTCGCCAAGATTTAAAGTCTTAAACGCCAATGCCAACACTGACGAAATTTTGTCACGATGAAATTCTGAAAAGTTTTCCGAAATTTTTTCGACGAAGTGTATCCGCCGAAAAATTATCTGACGAAATTATTTGCTGTTGTGTCTCTATGGAGAAGAAACGTACGAGGCAGTAAAGCAGAAAGAGGCTAACTGATGGTCGATTTGCGATTTACCACTTACATTTACATGTAATGTTATAAGTATTATGTGAACATTGAATAAACTGTTAGTAAGACATCTAGGCAATTCACAAAATGGAGCAAAATCGATTTCGCGTGCTTTCAATTCAAAGCCACGTCGTGTGCGGTTACGTTGGCAACAAGTCTGCAACATTTCCACTCCAGGTACATAGGCCTACTTACCTGTTCTACTTCTTTCCTATCTATTTAAATAAAGCCTCAATTGCCATCCCATCATTTGCTAAGTTGAAACTGTGTACAAAAATAGAGAGGGAGGGAGGGGTTTGGTGGACTTTGCGTTTATATGTCAGGGTGCATCCCATTGTAGCAAAATGTGTATTCTAAGGTCCTTAATAGAAGATAGAAGAAGAAATAGTCTTGATAGTTGGGGGGGTCAGAAATTTTTCAATAATAAATAAGCGGGGGGGTCATAGTTTAGTGGGGGGGGGGGGGGTCGGAAATGTGAAAAATCTGAAAAATCACGTGATGATTCTTTTTGGGGTCAAATGAGATTTTCTTCTGAATACAATCCATAGCAAAATGACAATTATCACTATGTAATAATGCATTGTTGTATTACTAAAATGAGCAGGCTAATTATCATTGTGTACATCAGCCAGGCCTATGTAAATTTTTTCGGATGTTATACTACTTTTCTATGTTAAAACTTTTGTACAATGCAACCTCTTCATCTAAGAGAAACTTTACAGAAATTTCACACCTGAACAAAGGACAAATGAAAAAAGGGATATGAATGATTGCATCTAAAAATTAATAAGTGGGGGGTCCAAATCAGCTCTGGTGGTCAGAAAAAAATCGAAAAATTAATAAGCGTCCCCCCTTCTATTAAGGACCTTAAAGTACAGCAAACTATGCAAAATGCAGAATGTGTACACAGCATTTTTCCCGTAACAGTGCTTTGTTTTGGGCATTCACAAAATTTTGACTTGATATTAAAATTTAGCATGGAGCCATACAGGCATTTAGAAGTAAAAAGAATATGAAATGAGATATGAAATTATTCCAGGGCCATTCTAGACTAACCTAAAAGGTGTGGTCCCTAAAAATTTTCCTGGGGGTGTGCCCTTAGACCTATTTTCACCATTTTTTCTATATCCCCAATATTTCCCTGAGTTGACCCTTGAAAATGAATGTCTTACATGTTATTCCCACTCCAAAAAAATTTAATTGGAGGGAGGCTCTTTCTGCTGAAAAACTGCACTTAGTCAAAGTGTTCATGATTTCTAACTTTGCTAGCCCCAAGTCTTTAAGTTGCAAAAAATTTTTAATTAGTTAGGAGTTTGAAGCTACTGTGAAGTTGTTTTAGCAAAATCTTTACCTGTTTTCCTGATATAGATGCTCAAAGAATCACCGAAAAAAATACAACAAATTTATTCATCACACCATAGCTCTAACAAAGACCAGATCTCTGCTGTAATTACCAACACCATTTTGAAAGCAACTTTTTCAACTTGTGATAATCAGATGGTTGTGATGTGATAATTAGATGTTCATTTAGGTGACCATACAAGTCCCACATTATCATTTTATATAACAACAAAACTGGTTGATATCCTATTTATAGCAAGAGTTATGCATACAAATTAATTTCAATGCTTCAAAGAGTATTGCTGTAGCTCTCAGCTACAAGAGGGCATTTCAACCCATACACAGCCTCTACTGCAACACCATAAATCACAGCATAAAATAAATACTGACCTTGTTGATAGATTATACGGCTTGCTACAATGAATAATATGAATTAATAAATTAACTAGCAAAAGGGCAACTAAGCAAAGATTATGTTAACTTCAAGCAACACGAACATGGTCTATTCAAACAAAAAATTAAGAATGTAACAAACAAACAAAAATTAAAGAATTTCTGAACTAATGCTCACAAACTGTTTGTTGTCCGTGCGTAATCTACATATTGGTCTTCTTCTTACTCTTCCACTCAATACCTTTACCATTTGAACCATGTTTAAAACTTCTCTGCTGGAACTGCACCCTTCAACCCCTCAATTGTGAAAAACAGTACATTACGTGAGACCAGTGGCTGGTCCTCGAAACACAGAAAAAGTGAAAAATGCAGCAATGCCCCCAATGGGCATTGTATGAGTGCATGTTGGTTGTCCAAGGAGCAGTGTGCATGATACCAATGTTTTGTTTAGAGTAGGATAGGAAAGCAAGGTTTCCAATGTTTCAAAAAAGGGTGATCCTTAGAAATTTTTTGTACCCTGAAAAATGTGTGAGCAGCTAAACATTTTGTTATGAATTAGACAAAGGTCCAAAAAAATCTTGTGTGTGCATATAGCCCCATTGTTCTTTTGCTACAATATGATTTCAGGTAGTGGTACCAAAGATTATGGGAGGAAACTACTGTAAAAGTTTCCTAATTTGTCTAGAGCCTTCCCCAATTTGAAACTGTGATCTAGCATCCATGTGAAATTTTGGTGAAATGGCGTAGCTGTGCAGCTTGAAGCTCTTTATCTGTGAATTTTTATGAATTTAGTATACTGATTAATAATATCATTTGTAAAAATGTGCCTTTTAATGTTTCTCAATGTGTCTTTTGGCAAAGCAATACTGCCTGCATTTAGTTCATTGCTAGATCTTTCCATGCCAAAATTAAAGAAAGTTAATAGACTAAAGCACAAAAAGTTTTTAAAACATATACTTTCAATCACTCTAAGAGGTATTGATATTTAAGGCTCTTTCATGATGATAATGAAAATCATAACAAGGATATCTTTACTAAAGTTAATGTGTGCATATGGCTGTGTACATATGGCTTAAATAACAAAGTAGCTAGTATTTTTCAGAACTAGAATATTAGAAAAAAAATTCAGCAAAATTAGAAATCTTTCTGATTGCTTAATTTTATTTATTTTTTCAAGGTGTTAGGCTTTGAAGTCGATGCAATAAATTCAGTTCAGTTTTCTAATCATACTGGTAAGCACTCAAAGATCCCAACTTAGTATTTAAACTACTTCTTTTCTTTGTTATTCATTTACTCTTAACAAAGCTAGGCAAATGCTGCAGCTAAGGTTGAAACTTGCTGGGGAATGTTAGAGGGAGGGGTGTGTGATGTACCTAAGAACTGAACAATTTAGTTTATAGAGAATTTGAAACCATCAGCAAGGCCACATCCTTAGTTAAATTTGGAAGAGAAAGCCTTTTACTTTGCAACATTTCACTGCAAAAGCTGTGTCTGATAAATATATACTGCTGGCTATTGCCTGTAATGTCAGTCTTAAAGGGTCTCGTGCAACTGGCATGCTGTTGTCTTTATATTTTCTCCAATGTTGGAGTCTTGGCTATGCAACTACCTACTATACCACAGAAATGATGCCATGTTTCTATTCATCTTGTAATACTGTTATTTTCTAAATCTATTGTTTATGGCAGTGAATTACACAGTCTTTATGGGCAAATATCCCCAAACATTGAAGTTTTGTCCCTGGTCAAATCTGTAAAGTTGAATGGACATTAGGGTTCATTGATTGGTCAAATGATGTACCAAAACAAATTATATACAGTATTTTTATTACTTATCCCACTAAATTTCAACTCATTCATTTTACCTTTCTTTGCCATGTGATTAATGCAAACTATTGTTCAAATTGTAGGGTATGAACATGTGAAAGGACAAGTACTGGAATCTTCTGACCTAGGAGAACTTTTTTTAGGGCTGACAATGAATGACATACATCACTACAGTCATCTTCTGACAGGTTTGTATTTTGGCATGAGATTTTGTTTTTCACACATTTTGGCATTTGGAAAGGAAATATCTTAAATCAATTTTGAAAACAGAGATGTGTACAAGGTTTAAAAGGTGGTCCTCGGACATGGCAATGTTGGAAAAACTCCCCCTTGTAAAATTATTTTTATTAAGGGGATTTTGCAACTTTGTGCAAAGCTACATTTTACTGTACTTAAAGGGCCTTTCCAGTCAAAAAAAAATTGATTGGCTAAAAAGTTAGCATCTGGTGCGTGTATTATGGCAAAGTCATTGTTTTTGCAAAATTCCAATCAGTTTAAAAGTTATAAGGCTTTAAAGTCGCACCTTTCCGAGAAAGAAACGACAAAAGCCGAATCAGTTTGGTGACATTCTGACATCACAGTGTGCGGCTCTCGTTCGCTAGAATTTCGTATATCTTACACCGAAGCGTGAACGAGTTATGGTCGCGCGTTTATAACTGCATCTAAATCTACAGCAGCAGCTTTTTAGGATCGAAAAATATTAAATGTTTACAATTATTCTAATTGTGCAGTTCGGAATGTGTCCATGCTGTGTCACGACTTTGTTTTGACCACCTGTGTTGGCCCACAAAGCTATGGCTTCCTGTTCCAGCTCTTCCCTCGCGTATAATTAATCGAAATTGACACTTCAGTTGTTCTTCAGAAACGATGAACAACTAATGGCTTCAGAATTGGTGTCTGAAATGCTCAAACTAAAAGCCGGTGGGAGTGGGACAGAACTGAGAGTACCATCACTTGCAGTGTTCAATTTGCGAATCGTCGTCGTTCGATTCGGTTTGAGGCGAGACTAACGAAATGCACAGTGACGTAAAAATTGCGTCACAGTGTCACCAAACCGAAACATTTTTGTCGGTTAATTCAATTCAATTATCGAAATGCAAGAGCTTATATCTCACAAACTGTAAACAATATATCGAAAAACAAATAACGAATTCGTGATCAGCAGGTTCAACTCCTTTAGATTAGCCAATAAAATGAAAGTGCAAAATTTGGCTGGAAAGGCCCTTTAACCTTATTCTTAACTTTTGACCAATTTTGAGGCTCTTGTTATTTATTTGTAATTATTCTTATGATGAAAGGAGTGAATGCCCCCCCTGACTCCCTCTATCTACGCACTTAAAAAGATGTCATCCAAAAGCATTGAGAAATTGTAGGCCTCATTCAGATGAATCTTTCTTCCCTCCAGCAGTTAATGAATTGGCCTGCAAGTTTGTTTGGGCCCATTTTTTTGCATGAATTGCTTGCCAAATCAATTTTTTATGATATGTGGCTAAGTTCCGGCCCTTAGAAGCACGAAGTATGAAAACTGGAGAAGAGCTGAACAGATCCAGTTTTGATTCAAGAAATAAAGCTAATTTTTTTACTTAGTATGTTATTCATTTTCTTTGAAGCAAACTAATTTTTTTAGAATCTTCTTCTTTTAGGTTATTGCTGCTCTGAATCGTTTTTAAATGATATTCTAATTGTTGTGAAAGAATTAAGAAAGAAAAACCCTGCATTAGTTTTTGGTAAGTGTGTATGTTTTTTGATTACATAATATTGCAATACACATATATTGATGGGTGTCTGGGCGGTTGCTAACTATTTTGCTCAAGGGGGTGCTTTGGTCTCATTTTCCTACAAAGCTGGTGAACCATCCTTTATTTGCCTAAAAATTTTAAAGTTTGCCTACGAAGCATCCCCAGATGGTAGAAAAGTAAGATAACTTTTTTGAAATAGAATTCATTCCAGATGTTGCAGGTCAGTATAAAAGTATGGATTGTACACTTTTTTATAAAGGGAGGTGCTGCTATATTATGTTAAAGTGTTATTGTATGTGTTGAAGAAATATTTACGAAGATAGCCTACCTATTACATAGGGACACTATTTTAGCAATTCAATAGTGAAGGTTCTTACAAGACTTCATCCAAGCGTAGCTTACAAATCTGGTTTACTTAACGTAAGAAAGCCAAACATTTTGTCCGCTAAGCCAGAATGCCAACAAACCAAAGGTTTTTGCATTTTTCCAAAAGACTCAAAATTCAACGTCTTTTGCATCTTTAAACAACCTTATTAATTTTAATAAAATTTTTTCAATTGTAGTTTGTGATCCTGTTCTTGGTGATAATGGAAAGTTTGTATGTGTAACTATTATTACTTTGAACTTGTTTTTTGGCGGTACAGAACCTGAAAATGTAGTTGAAAAAAGCAAACATTTCAAAACATATTGGCTAAAAGCTTTTTTTTCTGACATTCCCCAGAGCGTAAATCGTCAGAATAAGGGTCCGAAAGAACACGATGGAAAATATGTACCCAGTTGTGGATCGAAATAGGCCAATAAAAAAACGCAAGCACAAGACGGGTATTGTTGACCAATCAGTGCCGCGTGCCTAAAGAAAAATTACCAATGGAGTCCAAGAGAGAAAACGAACTTCTTCTGTCTACACAATGGCGGCTTTTTCATTTGTTTGTAGATCGATTTCAAAACTGCTAGATGAAAAGACAACCGGACTCTGCCAATTATCTGAAACAAAATCTGTGTTGTCTAAAAGGTGTTGTCCGATGGCAGAAACACTTGTTTTAGCGGTGTTTCTAGACCTACAAGATCGAGAGGGCAGTTCTCTTTCCCTTCCATCCATTAAAAAATTGCGTTCCTACCACCCAAAAGAGTTCCGTTGTTTATGAATTTACGTGCCGGTGTGATTCTGGCTACGTAAGTATATATTTTCCATTGTGTTCTGTCGAACCCAGACGAAAAAGCTTTTAGCCAGTAAATTATAAAATGTTTGCCTTTTTCAAAGTCATATTATTACTGTCCATTAACATTTTCTGCATGATTGACTAATATCAGGGGTGTATAATAGACTTGATGGACTTGCAAATCTACACAATTATAAGTTACTGTAAGGATTTTCATGGAACTGCGTTTAACAAAAAATTATAAACATAAAAACTAATAGCTGATCATTAAATTGTGCTTGGAAAAATTATTAGGATTTAAAAATTTACTAGGGTGTAAATCTTTTGATAAGTATATGTGGAGGGAATAGAAAATCGTCGAGTTAAAACCAACAGAGTAAAGAAACGAATGAGGGCAAATATGCAGACACCGCGGAGCATTAAAAAAATAGGGGGCATGAAAAAGTGGAGTAAGGCTGAAACCGAGTAAAACGAAGCTTAACTGGTGGTGTGCCTGATATGAAACATTAAAAAAAGTATTTATAGCACGTTAGCGGCCCAGGCTGTAGGATTTTTAGGCGCAGAACCAGCTCCCTTGCCCCCATTGACTTTACGCTTCGCCTATCTATTCATTATCTTTGTGTCATGTATCCATTTATTACCTTTGCCTATCCAAATATACCCATAAATATTGATTTACAGTATGTGCCAGAATCATTGCTGCAGATTTACAGAGATAAAATTATACCTCTAGCAGATGTGATCACACCAAACCAATTCGAAGCAGAGTTAGTATCGTTTTATTTATCTTCATTCTGTCACGTGGTCTATTTCACAATCCTATGAAGTATAAGCAGCAAGATAGACTGTAGTACAAAACTGTATAGATGATTGCCTAACAGAGTGTCCTAGAAATTATCCAGGGACCACCAGTATCAGAAGTACCACGGGTCTGATCATTCTCAATTCAGAACGACAAGCTTTAGAACCCTTTTCTATAATCTTTGCACAATACGTCATTTTCATGCTTTCAGAACTTTGCTTTTTCTCCAATTCATGACTACTTTTTTATAGGCTGTTGTCTGGAATAAAAATAAGAAATGAAGAGGATGCAATTAAGGTGAGTTGATGGTTCAATACAACATCTTTGAAAAAAACCTGGAGTTTCGAATAAATAATTTTTCTAAAACATTAGTCATAAGTATTTACGGAACAATGGCCTACGTGCAAAATTTAACGGCTACAAAATCAAGGATTCAATACAAAATGCATTTAGTAAAAGCTGGATATATAAGTGCCCCTTGCCTGATACGGCATGTTATCAGCTACGAATGGACAAGATACAAACCTTTCCAGCAAGATGCTGTATTTATCTCATGCTTGTAAGGTTTCTATATATTTTTCCCTGAGGGACCTTGCACTCACGGAATGTTATTGTAGATTGATAGCATAGTCAGTAATGATCAAAATTTTTGCTCTTGAAGTTGCACAGATGTAACCGCCATATTTGATAGGATTCTTTTAGTAAGGGTTTTTTAAGCAACTTTGTCAAAAACTTATTTTCATGCAGGAATTTTTTCTTCCTGTCAGGAAAGAAGATAAATTCTTTTAAATTTGTCTATTAAAAAATAATTGCTTTAAGGGTACTGCAATGCCAATTGAACGTTTTTCTACACTACGAGAGATTTTTGCAAAGTTTGAAGGGAATGGTCTATTGCCTTTAAAAACTTTTTTCGATGATTTTAAAGTAAGCTGATTGAACAACGTTTTTCAGAAAATACGTACTGTTTTGTTGCACCAGCGTTACAAAATCCAGGATTTTTTAAAGGCAATCAATAGAGGATTGTAGCTCGTAAATTTTGCAAATATGTTTATTTTTCTATTCATGATTTTTAAAATCTTTTATAATTGTTAGTAAATATATTACCAATTATTTCATCGATTATATTGCGCCTCCTTGTTCAATACTTTTTAGTTGAATTGAGCGAGTCATGGTATTACAATTCTTGTCACTCAAGCATACAGTTTAGAGGCAATCGACAGATACTAAAGTGGCTTAAGCCATTTGGCAATCAATATCAGCCAATCAACAATCGCGTGAGTGCTATCACGCACACTGATTGGCCAATTGTTGATTGACGAATGGTTTAAGCCACTTTAGTATATTCTGATTGCCATTATAACCTAGGACTTGAATTTATTGTTGCGTAATCTTGCGTAATTAAGATCTAAATAAATTTGTGTTTTTATTTTAGGCAACAGATATTCTCCATAGCAAAGGAACAAAAACTGTAATTATCTCTAGTACAGAGATCGGAGTCGAAGGAACTTTAACGTTGCTTGCCAGTTCAAAAACAGAATCTGGCTTGAAGCGGGTGAGACTACGAATGCCAAAGATGGAGGCCATATTTACTGGAACTGGTGACCTGTTTTCCTGCATGCTGTTAGCTTGGATGGCAAAATACCCAGGAGATTTGAAGGTAACTTGACGAAAAGAAGAATCCGTTTTAAATATCTTATTAAAGAATTCTAAATCTTGTACAAATAAAAGCACAAATGACATCTAAGGACGTGGAATTAACATCCATGGGAAAAAGCTTGATTTAATTAAATTTAGTCACGTTTAATATGTGACACTGTACACTGTTTAGGTGCCCCTTGGGCTTTTGTTTTGGACACAGATTGCACGATTATGGAGTTTGTATTTATTGTAGCAGTGCTCGAGTAAGCATTATATCGTGTCTTTTATACGGCTAAAGCAACAAGCGTCCAAGTGTGCATTGGCCTTTGGTATATAAACTTTGTTTTGGTATAGTTTTATTCTCCCACGCTACAAGATAACCAGAAGTTAGACGTAGAGAGGAAAGGCTTTTCCTTTGCGACCCTGTCCACCCTACCCATATCTAGGTATTTTCAGGTGTTTGCAGGCATGGTTAATTTATCTTTCTTTTCTTCGTGCATTAGTTAATGGCCGTATGGCTTGCAATTTTTACATGAACAAGGTGTTACTAGTCGGCTAAAGAAGGCCATTGTTCTTCTTCTCAACCCCCTCAAAACGGTTGGGTTTTTATTTATGGCCGTCTATGCGATTGGCGCCTTGACAGCCCAAAAATAAATGGTTCAAATGATGAGAGAACACCCGGAACAAATATTAAAATGAGTAATTATTTCCCGGTTAAAATTTTCTTAGCCTCAAAGAATTTTGACCACTGTTGTCTTTTTGTTATGTCATGCCCCCCTCTTGTAGCATGGAGCAATTTTACTAATGTATTTTCGTTAGACTGTAAACATCGCAGTGGTTATAATGAATGTCTTTGCAACATTTCTACAAATTGCAAACCATTCAATATTTGCCTTAACTTTCTTCCTTGATTTCAGACTGCTTGCGAAAAAACAATATCAGCCATTCATCTGGTATTAAAAAGAACCCAAAAGGCAATGACAGGTTAGCAACGATACTTCCATAATTGACCATTATTACCCTGAGGCTAATTTATTGTATGGTAACTTATTAGCCACTGGTTTTTGCCATTATATTTCGCCCTTATTACCGCCGGCTCTTTCTTCTGCCGCCCCTAATACATGACCTCTATATGCTATTTGTTGCTGCTGACCTCTATATTTATCCTGGATCTCTGGTTTCCGCCAATCCGAATAACAGACAAAGACAAAGTCACAAAGTCCTAGTCGATGATAGTGGTTGTGTATTTTCCACTAATCCCTTTTACGGACAGAATCATCCTTACCCGGCATTTTGGTGCTGCCAGCCATAATCAACAGCAGAGGTTGTGACTTTTTCGCCAATTCTTTCTACCAACAGAACCCTTCTTACCTGGGTTTTTAGGTACTGCCAATACTAATAACCGGTACTTCTTGTTCTTTTCCGCTAACCTTAAATTCTAAGATAGTCCAAATTACCCGTGTTTCTTTGTGCTGATAATGAAAATATGAAAATATGAAATGTGCCTAATATGAAAATGTCTATAAACAAGAGAAATTCTACAGAATAAGCTATGTTAAAAGGACTTTATTTTCTTATTAGCTCTTCCGATGCTCTCAGAGAAGAAACTTTAATGCACTTTTTTACTTTAATAAATGACTTTTATGCCGCCTGTGAAATCGTGAATGACTAAATAGTATTTAATAAACCAGCCTCAATATAGTTAAAAAAACCAATCCTTTGGAAGATTTACTACGATAGTTTACTTGAAGCAGCTCATTTTAGCACGAATTGGCAAAATTCACTGAGAGGATATCCAGTACCCTTGACAACCATGCACATAGGGTGCCCGAGTTGAATTGAATAATCCTTAGAATAATAATGCGTTTGAACAACCCCCTGTAATTTTCATTATTATCAATCGGGACGAACAAAAATGTTTGAAGAGTAAAAGTCATATGTAAGTTTGAATTAGACATAAACACACACCAGTAAATACAGCTTTAAATTTACCAATGACTTATCTTTAACTTCTCAATGACTGTATATTCTCGGTGTTCTAAGGGTTTTTCTTAGACTTTAGGTTAATAGTTGGTATCAAGATAATCAAAACATGCGTAGCTCGTTGAAGAAAAGAAGTGATAATGAATTCCTAGCCGTTAGGATTGACAGCTGTTTTTTGACTGTATTAATTTTATGTGTTATCCATAAATCTACGTCCCAACCAATTGCCTTAAGCACAGGAGTTACGTCATCTAGCCACTTTGAATGCTCTTACCCATTCATATTTTAGCAGTTCATGTTAATTTCCAGGGAACGTTTGCAAATAAGACTAAAGCTGTTTCCACGTTTTCAGATAGCCTCTTTTGTACACTTAAATATTTTCCAGAAAATTTTGAAGTTTATTGGCTGTTAAAATTTGAATAGTTTTTCTTGCTGTCAATATTGACCATAGAGAGTAAAAAATTGATGAAACAGTCGCCACCCTGGTACACAGAAATGTGTCTTATTTAATCAACTGTTAGCTATCTACGTAATCTTTAACTTAATAAAAGCAGCGCAAAAGTTATTTGCTTATATTTCTGATTTTTGAATGGACAGTCCAACTTCCCACATGGAGAGTGTGGGAAGAGTTTTTGGAAGTTTCAATTTTCAATAAAGGAAATAAACGACCAATTTTACTTCTTCTCTTTCTTTCTCTTCTTCTTTTTTATTGCCCTTAACCTTCTTCTCCACTTTCACATGCTTCTTCCCTTTTCTCCATCTTCAAATTCTCCCCCCCCTCTCTCTCTTCCTTCTTCTTGTCCTTCTCCTTCTTCTCTTTTCTCTTCTCCTTCTTTGTCTTTCTTCTTTGTTACTATCCTTCTTTCTTTCCTACTTTTTCTCCTGCTCCTAGACTGACATGGCTGGATGCTAGGACGCTAGGTTTTAGGTCTCAACAGGGGCTGGGGTGGATGAGAGACTAGAATGCATGCGAGGATGTTGATCTTAACAGGGATTAGAGTGGATGGGAGACGAACATGCATGCTAGGCTGTTGGTTTTAACTGATTTGGCTTGGATTGTGAATGCTCAAAATAGCTTAGATTTCTATCTCACAGGTTGCGAGCTGATTTGCTTCCTTATCCGATTTTTTAAGCCGCCTTCTTGTTTGTGGTTTTTCGGTACATGCAAGTCTTACAACCTGCTTATGCCAATCTTGAATTTAAAGAGACTCTTTCAATTTTGCGATAAAATCTGATGAGGATTTTTTCTTACTAGAGCTTGCTGGGCCTGGAAATAAACCCACTGCATTTCAAAGAGAGCTGCGAATTATTGATAGTCTAGACGATATTAGAAACCCACCTGACTTGTTCAAAGCAGATGAAATTCATTGAGTGGACTAATTCTTTATACATAGGGGTTTGTTTTTATTTTTGTCTGAATGTTGGAAATTTTTATTATCTTAGCCGTATTATCTTAAAGGTAGATCAGCTGTGTTACAACTTGATCTTGCACAGCCTAATCTGAATAAATTTTGATATGATATATATCGTATGGCATAAGTCTTATCAAGGCACTTAATATCTTGTCTCGTATTATAAATATGTATTCCTAGCCTACTTTAAACATGCCATACTGTATCGATTCATTTCCTGCCTCTCCTATCTCCTTTGCGTACCTCCGCCGAAAAGGAACAGATCTGAGATCGGAACGATCTGTAAAGCTACGAGGTAGTATCATTCGCGTGTTATTTCGATATTTCGTCCGATTTAAAATTTAGATTAACATAAATACGTCTCGAACAGTGGCGTACCCAAGAGGGGGATAAGGGGGTCCGAACCCCCCCCCACTTTTCTAAAATATAATCCTCGAGATTTGTCCAAAAATGATGTAAAACTCATTGGGGGGGGGGGTGTAGTATACTGTATGCTTGTGTCAATAACAATTGTAAAATACTTTGCTATTTACCGTAGCTAACATTAATCAAATAATGGAGGAAAATTTTGCAAAAAGGGCATTTCCCCGCATTTGCAAGTGTCTGAATGGCGTGGTTCAAAAAATTCTGGGGGCTCCGCCCAGACCCCACCACTGCTGCAGCCCTGGGTACGCCACTGGTCTCGCACTGTTTGAAAGCATAGGCGCACGAGAGAAAAGATTTGCGATTGGTGCTTATTGTGTTTCTAAAACATTACCCGATAATTGACTATTTTATTACCTGATTGACTGGTAATTATTGATGATTTTTATATCCAGGCTGCTTGTAGCCTACACTCGTATGCGTTAAATTTGATATACCTACTTGTGTAATGAAATGGAATTACCAGAAAATTATACTAACAACTTAATACTAACTTTGTGTTATTTGATAATTTGTTGTTTTTTGTTTCTTTTGTCTGCGTTGCTGCAATATATTTTCAAGGCATCTCTCAAAAATCCAACGAAGTATTTATTTTCAATGGTCATGGCACTGGGGAATCGCTTTTGGATTACGTTCTGATGAATTACATGCTAGATTATATCTTAGGTTACCATTTTTGTTACATTTTGTCAGATTTGTAGCCGCAGTTCCCGTCTCGATTGGTCAAATGATATCTAAAGATTAGCATTTTTTATTGTTTGGGATGACAGAGGCTTATGATAGTTAAGAAATTTCACACCAACGCGATTTCATTGTATAAGGTAGACGTATGAATGTAATGAAGAAATTACAACACCCTAAATTTTATCAATATTACAATAGCATAACTATAGAAAAACAGAAATTGGAAATCTGTTGATCAAATGGTAACATGCATTCAGATGTGCTTTGGTTTTATTGACTAAGACCAAGCTACGCCCACTTGAAGCATGCTTCTTCTATATTATCTTCTCTAAAAGAGATTGAAATTTAACCTTTCAAAGTTTGAATGGAATGTATGCCACTAGTGAGAAGGTAAGCGCATCATGGATCAGGGTCGTTTTTGAGATCAATGCACGATCCTGGAAAATATTTAGTATTCAAGCGATATCCTTGGCTCAATTTCATTTTCTAAGCTATTGTATAAAGAATTTGGAAAACAAATAAGGGCTAAATGGATTGACAGAATATTTTATGCACCATCAATCCATGCATTCTTTCTAAATAATGAGATTATCGTATATCCTTATGTGATGCGATATCTACAAACTGCTCTGTTATGTTCGGATATCCTAGTGTATCACGAGATATGAACATCCGATAGTGCTATTTTACCATCATACCGCCCAACAGCGTAGAATTTTACTCAATTTTTTATTCCACTTCATAACTGTTGACTTTATGTAGCATGCTGACATGTGGAACACCTACTCCAACTTGTCTAATAAAGACAGACAGCAAAAAAGGAATGGATTGACATTTGTTTTTAAGGTAAGTTTGTTTTACATCGGCAACGTATTTTCAATGTAATTGAATAAACGGTTATACGTTTGAATGTTTTCTCCGGAATTTGGACATTCTACTACCAAAACATAATCTGAAGGGAGCCGTGGACTACGATCAAACATTATTTTTACCGTTTGTTTTGTTTTGCTCGGTTTCGCAAGACCTTATATCTAGTCGTTCTTTCATCGAAGAGGTTAACTTTATATCTATATCATCATTATCTAAATCCTAAATCTTAATTATTTGATAAGAGGATATAAACTTCAATTTTTGTGGCCGTCCGCCATCTTTTAAACAAAAAATAGGAATAGTAGGACCATCTTTTAGACAAAAAATAGGAATAGTAGGACAGGACAAAAACAACACACACGCCCATTTTAGCCTCGTACTAGCGACGGCCTAAGCTAGCCACGTTTAAAAAGTTTTGCTTACAAAGGAGACGACATGGGTGAGTTCAAATCGCCGGAAAAGGTAACTGAACCGTGAACATCATAGCAATCTAACTACATACTATGTTTTTAATTTAGTGAAGTATTGAGTGATGTTCTAAACTTACTTTTACCTATTTTAGTACTTATCTGGCTTTGGAAGCGAGTTCGCCTCAGAAGCACTGCCTGATGCCCTACCTAAAGGACAGGTAAGTTAGAATTGGTTTCCTTTCGTCAAGATCATTTGAATTATCAAGGTTGCACCTGTTGTTGTCATCTTTGCAGACAGCAAAGCAAAGCTTTATAAAATTATTCCGATTTTTTCTTTTTAAAGAAGCATTGTGAATTGATTAAACAACATCGCTTTGTTAACTTCGACCTTTTTTAACCTTTTCGACCTTTTTGACCTTTTCGACAGAAATTCGACCTTTTTGAACCTTTGCATAAAAAAGATTGAAATTAAAAGTTAACATAAAATAAGAAATTGGTCAAAACACAATCTTAGTCAACATTTGATGTTTCTTATATATTTTTTACTTTGGTGTTTTGATAAAGGGATTAGTTTCAATGCTTTCGTTTTGAACAAAATTTAAGGTTTCAATACGTATTATGCTTATGAACAGACCCCTAGGCCTACCCTGTGAAATTGATACAATCATGATGTACAAAAAACGAAAATGGACTTAATGAAATGTATTTGTAGCCACAGTAGACAATTTTTGTCAAAGAAAGGAGTGGAAAAGAATGCATCTATTTAATAATGTTAATATGTAATAACTGCAATGGAATCATTGTTCTTGTTTACAAGAATTCACCCCAGAAATGCCCTTATGGTTTGTACGCTGAGCAGCTCTCTGGTTCTGCATTCACTGCACCAAGAAGCACAAATAGGCGCAGGTATTCATTGATTTTGGTTATAATTGACCTTTGTACTGAGACCACGCATTGTCTGCATAATGAAACTGGATACATATCTATTCATGTACACCTGTGAGAAAATAATGCTTTCAGATCCTTCAGAAAAGTCTCATGGCACCCAGTATTTCATGAGAAATAATGGAAATATCTGGCATTAACATATATTTTGATAAAGATTCTCTTTTTTTGTTTCAATGAAATATTTTCCTTTGATAGTTGGTTGTACAGAATAAAACCATCAGTGTGCCACAAACCTTTTGAGCCTTTTCAAGTCAAAAACCTATCGGATAACTGGAAGAACAGACCACCAAATCCAAACCAGGTAAAAAGTGACCTATGAAATATTCAACAAATATATTTTCCATGCATGTTGATTGTCTGTATTTAATGTCACATCATATGTTGTATTTTTTAACTCTGTCACTTGGCATGGATGTTTTTCATTGCTTAGAAGTACTGCTGGACCGTAAACCAATTATTTGCTAAACGTAAGGTGTAGAGTCAATATTTCATACCAATAGTTTACTTGGCTAATCCTAATTTACTTATTGTTTTGATTTCAGCTGAGATGGAAACCATTTGATATTCCATCAAATCCAACAGACTTTGTAGAGGTAAGAGCTCCAGTGTCAATGTTTAATTCACAGTTTAATTGTTTGTGACAAGATATCAAGCTTTCCATAAACAAGGCCCCAATCATAGTTTTTACGTAAATAAATTATTGGTAACAAATCTTACAACCATGGTTGTTAGATTATGCAGAAACTGATGCCTGCCAATAATTCCCAAAACATACTTTCAGCCATCCTTTGAAATATTTCTGTCTTTAAAGTTTAGCATAGCACGTGCTCTAGTGCCTAATCGCCTAAATCTAAAATGTGCTAAGTGATCTTATCACTCTTGTGAAACTTGAAACAAGTGACTGTGAGAAAGGTCTGGGAGTTAACATTGATAAAGATTTAAAGTTCAGCAAACATGCAGAAATAGCCTCAAACAAAGCAAATGGAATAATGGGCACGATAAAGCGCTCATTTACCTGCATCGACAAGGAAATGTTCAATTGCCTGTTCAAAAGCCAGGAAACAAGGAGAAGTTGTGGCCGGTTTAAGAAATCTTGAATATGAGGAGCGCTTGAAAGAACTTCAGTTACCTTCTCTTGTAACAGAAGACTACGGGGGGACCTCATTGAAATCTATAAGTACACAACATGATTGCTATGATACTAAGAGCTTATTTGAGATACAAGAAGATAATATAACAAGAGGAAATGATTTAAAGCTTAAAAACAAAGATGCCGAAGAGATGTTCAAAAAAGATTTTTCAGTTTGAGGATTACCGACATTTGAAACAAATTACCAAACAGCATAGTTAATGCAAGTTCATTGTGTGTATTCAAAATAAAAATTGATAATTTATTCGGTGACAAGAAGTACTTAATGGACAGATCAGAAATGATTTCAAATATCTGAGTATCATATGAATTAAGACAAGGGGATGTTCCGGAAAAACTGAGACAAGTCGTTACTTTTCAAATTTTTCAAGCTTTGATTCGTTTTCATCCAATGGGTTTCTTTCCATTGCGCATGGACTCCAATGTTTTAACTTGCATGTTTTTCAGGAGCATCCCTTACCAACAACAACAAATTTAGATTAGAAGCGATCTGTAACAGGCTTATAGCCTACATTACAGCTTTTGTTGTGTTATATTTTGTTATGTTATATTATAAATGTATTGACAATGACAAATTATTGATCATTACATCCTTATTGACTTATATTTAAAGAGATGATGCAATATTGGTATTATAAAGATTAAGTTGAGATGCACTGCAGATATATCAATAAGAAGTTGCACATGAATTTTTTTATTCTCTTAGGGCATTGCAACTGTCTGTGGTGCTGGGGACCCAAGAATGAGAAGTGGCTTGTCAATAATGGTTTATGTTTGCAACATAGAGATGAAAAACAAGTAATTTTGTCAGCAATATATGAATATAAATATCATTATTAATATTATTCGAATAACCATTCATCTCACAATATCATAATATGTCATGTCATAATAATTATTCACACAATGATCAACTTGTTATGAGGTTTTGAAATTTCATGAGACAACTAATTCTCTTATTTTAATTTTTTCTATATAAAATGATTTTAGATTTAATAGCCAACTACTGCAAATTGATCAGAATGAAAGTTTTTATACTTGTTGTGAAGAATCCATTGAAAACAAGCAGTATAATAGAATTCATTGGTTCTCATTTGTCTTATTGTAATGTTTAGAATAGAGTAATGTAACTAAGTTTTCTCCTGAAATATTTGTCTTCAAGTTTCTGAAACTCTAGGATCTGCAGTGAGGGTGCTGCCATAGCCATATTTGCCAAATTTGTGTATGTCACGAAGCTTTTTGCTTTTGTATTGTTTGAGAAGCTTAATGCTTAATAAGCAGTGTCCTGGTTCTTCCTCTCGATGTAACCACACCTCATAATTCCTACGCCTGGAATAACAGAGAGCTCCCCACTTCAAGGGAATGTTTGGTCATGTTTTGGGTTCGGAACCAGGGAACCTTGGGTCTGTAGTCCGTGACCCTAACCACTGAGCCATCCGTGCATGTTTTAGTTAGAAAATGTATTGTAGTATTTGTTTGTTTGCAGATGTTTACAGAATGCAGATGGAGACCTTTTGATAATTCCACAACAGGGTGTGCTTGGCATCACAACTGAATTTGGAAGGATGACTGTGGAGCCAAATGAAATATGTGTTATTCAGGTAAACTTAAAATATTCCTAAACTATCCTGTTTGTTTTGAAGAACCAACATCTGGAAACATAATCTATTAATTATCCTTTCATATTCTGTCATATTCTTAGGATTGCATTTTTGAGCTCAAAGTGGGAAGGGGGCATACATTTAGCAACTGTTTTATATGATTACAGAAAAAAGGACCTCACTGAAAATAGGTTCATGCTCCTTGTCACCCTTTTGCACGAATCCTCAATCTTAATCCTCATATAAAGTACATTTCAATCTGATCATTGCCATTCGTAGCAAGGAATGCGGTTTTCTGTGCATGTTCAAGGACCAAGCAGAGGATACATATTGGAGGTTTACGATGGCCATTTTGAACTTCCATGTCTTGGACCAATTGGTATGTTGGCTTTTGTAGATTTTTACTTCATGATCATTTGCCTAATATTTTCATCTGCATATTAATTGGTCTCTGATGACTGCACTCCCAAATTCAGATGTTGGTTCAAGACTTTATTGGAAAAGCTAGAACAACTGCACTGTAACAAAATTCATGGCATTCTGAGAAATGTTTCGCTGATTTCAGACAGTTACTGGATTTGCCCTAGTAAAGACAATGACCAATTTATAGGGTTTTTCTGGTCATTTCTAACATAGAATAAAACATTTGTGCCAAATTTCAGCTTTATGTTATTTTTGTCAGGGTTAAAACGTTTTAATACCTAATTCCACAACACTAATTATTCAGTAATTCCATGTAGTTTTTCTTTTATTAGGATGTTTGGAGTAAAAATACCTCTCAATCAGTAGTTGTTTGGCAAATTTTTGCCAAATATCAGCTATAGTGTTTTGTGGAAAAAAATATTTATTCCTTGCAGCTGTATACATGGGCTAATAGTATTAATATTTTTGTCGTTTTTTGGTGTTTAGTAAATATATTTGATGCTAGGTGCAAATGGATTGGCTAACCCAAGAGATTTTTTGACCCCTGTTGCAAGCTTTGAAGATAAATCTCCTGATGGGGGTTTTGAGGTCATCAACAAATATCAAGGATGCCTGTTCAAGACTGTACAGGTAGAAGACCTCTTTCACCTTTGGTATTTTATTTCATAACCAAACGTTGAGGGGATCTTGTTGTAAAGATGAGAATTTTGAAGAATTCTTGTTGTTTGGGTCTAAAGTTTATGCAAACCATTCAGTCAAGCCAATTATGGAAAGTGGCGAGATTTAGTTCTACATTTTTTCAAAATGCAATTGTTCCTCAGCCTGTGCTCCTATTGTTTTTTCGTTTTTTGGCTCAATTACAGAAGCTGTTTGATTTTTTAAGAATGAATAGAACTTGTTTCTCATTTCAAGTTTCTTGTACCAGGAATGATCGTTTTTTCTTAGGAATCATCAAATTTGATAAAAGTAATTTAGAAATGGCGAAATATCGCATAAGAAATTCCTAATCATGAAATAACTGGACTCTTTCTTTGTATTTGATGAAATCTGGATTGTTTCTATCTTTATCTTTTGAAACGTTTATACATATATGTGACTTTAATTATGTAAATTTAGATAACAATCTATGTATAACTTATCATATATTTATATACGTCTTTAGCTGTAAATGATTTTCGTAATTTTTCTCGTACCCAGATGCATTCTCCGTTTGATGTTGTCGCATGGCATGGAAACTATGTGCCATATAAATACGATTTGAAGAATTTCAATGTCATAAACACCGTCTCCTTTGACCACTGTGTAAGTGAAGGATTTCATACAATTTTACAGTAATTATAAAAGACTAGCTGAGGTTTTTTAAGTTTTTTGAACCATCCATGTTTGTGTATATGGAGTTGCGTTTTTCAGAGTACTGCGAGACTAAGCAGGCCAATCAATAGCGGCGCCAGCCACTACGCTCTGGGGGGGGGGGGACTAAACAAAATATTTTAGACCACGCCCCTTTTAGCACCAGAAAACTCCCTTTTACTAACAAGGAACGCAATTTTTACCTGAAGGGAACGCCCATTACTCACTTTTGGCTATGTGAAGGCAGTTTGAAAATCATAGGATTACATCACAAAAAGTACGTTGCCAAAATATTACCCTTCCCCCAACATTTTCTCATTGGATTTAGACGAAATGCAAAATTGATCCTGCCGAGAACTGGGCGGGACGTGTCCCCCAGTCCCCCCCGTGGCGCCGCTACTGAGGCCAATAAATGCCATGCTTGAAAGTATGCACACGAAAATGTTTTGGGGGTTTTTTGTTACATCCTTCGGCATTTCAATCAGCCATCAAGTTTATTGAAGAAGCTCAACAGATTGATTTCAACAATGTAAATATCTTCCCAGAATGCAGAAAGGAGAATGCCAAGTGGGAAGTGAAAATTATCTCTTTATCGCAAGTTGAATGGCTCAGGTCTTAATTTTGAACTAGCCTCTAAGTTTATAAAACCTTGGGGTAAATAAAAGAAAACCAATATATGTTTTGGGGAAAAGGGGTTTCCCCCGAGCAAATTGTCTGAATATGCATTTTGTCTGAACTTGTTATCAGACTGTAAACAGCTAATACTACTTTGATTTCAACATTTTTGGGAAGTAGGTGCTCCAGATTCATTTCTCACTAATTCTGTATTTGTAAACTTGTTGCTGTATAGCTTTCAAAGGTTCTTTTTAAGACACTCAAAAGCTATGCTTGTCAGGCAATGTCCTTTTTGTCCTTCCTCTCGACAGAAAGCTGGCGATTCCAGGCCATAGGGTCTGTATTCCGGGATTCCTAACCACTACTGTCCTCACTTTTATGTTTCATAATCACAGCTTCGACAACAATTTCAAATTCAGAAGAGATAAAAGATTGCCTTACTTCATTACTGTTTCACAGCTCTGATTCATCGACTTACTTTTCTTAGCATATTTAAACGCAACGTAATCAGCGGAATTAGAGATTTCTGCTGTTTTTCTAAACCAGTTTTCTAAATGATTAATTAGCAGTTAGTTATCTTAGTTTTCCTTTTTTTGAATTGTACTGTTTTATTGCTGTTGGGTAGATTATTCTGGCAATAGTACGATGGTTGGTTGCATTGCAAACCATACGAAAATGAAGGATTACTGCCATTATCTCAAGATTGCCAATATCTTAAGATTCATCTGAATTGGCTAAAGTCTTTAGGATTAAGTGAAATGCATAACTTTAGATTAGTCGTGGTTTCGTCCATGATAGCAAAGATTGCAGAAGATCTAGAGAACCTAGCCTGCGTTGCAGACCATATAGAGAACCATGTTAAAGCAAATTAATAAAAAGAATTAAAAATAATTTTTTTAGGACCTAACCTTTAACCGATTAGTTGTGTTGTCCTATATTTATAGAATCTGACATGTATCCACGTGACACTAAGCTGAGCCAATCCTAAGCTGGATTTACTTTCACGTTTGAACTTATCAAGGTTTATCTGTGTTATTCAGAGATCTAGGACGCCGAACACATATTATCCCGTACACAAAATTTTTCTCATCCAAATTATCTATCCACGTGTAATCTTACAGACAGTTGCTACTGCCGCAAATGCTTATTTAAAGAAACACCCATGCTTTCAAAATTAGTTCAACTGGATTAAGATTTCTGAAAAATTTCTGTCTTAGACGAAAAAGACGAAAATCAAAATAGACGAAAAAAGGGAACTAGCGCTCATTCAATGACGTTTTTTGCTTCCTCGGGAAAGGTGTAGCCCCGGTGGGTTTTGTGGTTTTGGAAAGACCGCGTACATTGTGTTTGTTGGAAGGTCGTGAAATTGGGTCCGGTGGTTTGCTTTCAGAGAGATTTTTGGGTCTTGATAACGAACTGTCAAATGTCAAGGAATGAAGTTTTCTTGCCAAATTGAGGTTTCTGCTGAGGCCCAGTTGAACTAACCCACAACGCGCTGTTGCTGGCTGTTCCATTTCACATTTGAAGGGTTTTTTGAAAAGATGATAAATTAAGCGCACGAGCATTACAGATTTTAGCAGGCATTTTCTAAGGGCCTGTTCACACTACTCCGTTTTCAAATAAAAACGGAGTCAATCTAATCCGTTTTTGCCTTGCGTTCACACTACTCTGCTATGAAAACGGAGTCGTTTGAAAACGCTAATGAAAACGGATACTTTCGAATACGGTGCGTATTGAATACGCTCCGTTTTCAGTGTAAACACCAAAAACGGATACATTTGAATACGCTAACAACGGCAACAAAATACGTGCTTTCCAGCACACCAAATCTCACAAATTTCGAACTTGAGAATTCACAATGGACTGGTAGCTGTTACAACAAAGTTTTTCACGATTCGCTTTTATCAAATTTCATTCATAATGACGCCAATTTGTTGTGGATTCGTGAACGCCTATTTTCAAAAATGAGGCCACCAACAACGTTTTTGTTGGAGCAGTGTGAACACTTACTGTGTTCAAATCGTATTCATTTGAAAACGGATAAGTGTGAACGGACAGTGTTTTAATCAACGAAAACGGGGCGACACGAATACGGAGAAGTGTGAACGTAGCCTAATTGTGTAATCTTCCCAGTCCGTAGTGTTGTTATCTTGGTTTGTTTATTATAAGAAGGTATAATTGATTTCGATTTTGCATATTAAAAAGCTTCTGCCACAGGCAGCTGTGATGCGGTAATATGTTTAGAAGAGAAATGTTTCCAAAGCGGGTCTAGGGTAGGAATGAAACACCGATAGAATTGGCAAAACAGCAATGAAATTAATAAGATAAGTTATGTGGTAAGATATATATGACAATCTCTCTGTCACATCCCCTATATGCCAGCGCTCTTTTGTGTAATTGCATATTTACTTGAAAGAGGGATGCCTTCCTACGATATCATTAATGATTTTAGACATCTGTCGTGAGTCGCCCTTGCACCAGCTATTTGTGTTGGAGTGTGGGCCTGCCAAACAGATGAGAAGGCTGAATTTGAATAAGTCATCTTGATGAATGCTAATATATTATCTTGCAGTGAGCATGTTGGTAAAACAATGTTTTGTAGGAGGCTCTGGGGTTTTATCATAGTAGTGATATCTACTGGCAATGTATAGGACCGCGAAGGAACTTTGGTGCAATAATTTCTTCCCACACATTTTGACTTGTATGTCTCCTATTTCTTATTGAACCTTTATCTGCTAAAAGATTGTTGATACCCTAATAAAGTTATTTTTGTGTCTTTCAGGATCCATCGATCTTCACAGTTTTGACATGCCAGAGCACTAGACCTGGTGTTGCCATTGCAGATTTCGTTATTTTCCCTCCACGTTGGGCTGTTGCAGAACACACATTTAGGCCGCCATACTACCATAGTAAGTTTAATCTTAATTTGATATTGCTTCTCTTCAAAGAGGGGGGAGGGCAATTTGTACCCTGTGAGCGTTTATGTTTGGGTTAAATGCGTTTGTTATATTCAAGTGCTCTTGGTTACCTTACGGTTGTCTGTCAAATCTTAGAATAATGTTTCTTGAATTTTAACAATGTGAGCAGAAAGATTCTGGGGAAAGGTAAAAGTTCAAAAAGTGTCCTAAAACTTGTAATACAGAACGGGTAATTCATGCTGAAATGTCTAAATTTTTGAATCTATGAAATGAATTGAGCTGTTGTCGAAATTGATCCTAGTAAGGTTTGTTTTGAGCCAAAATAGAAAATATTCTACAAAAGTACGCTCTTGTTATTTCGTTTTCATAAAAGTACGGATTTGCTATTTCTTCTTAGGAAATTGTATGAGTGAATTCATGGGATTGATACTTGGAAAATACGAAGCAAAGGTATCTCAGCATTTTGTTTCTCTATAATTTTAAGTTTTTAGTGAATGTAATTCCTTCAGTTAAACAGGTAGACCTTCCAGAAACTTTCAGTTTGATTCCCGTTTCTTTGTAAGAGTAGCTACATCATACAAATTAGGTTTCGCAGAAATGCCAAGGATTCGCACAAGAGCCAAGGAAACCATGGTGCTTTTAGGTCGGGGCGCTAATCAGACTTTAGGGGTAACCAACACTGTCATTTCACCGTATTGGCATCCGTCTGAGTGTATCCAAAAGCACGCTCGAATGCAAAATGATTAAGGCGTTTCTACACATTGCAGTTTTGCTTTAATTTATATGGCAGAGGTTGATAGAAATTGACACTTATACAGGGATCGTAACACTAATTAAAATCTCCAGAGGCATGATGCTTATGATGCCACCTCTACTTATGTTGCTGAGCTGAACGATTCCTGTGCCCCTTCAGAACCTCTTTACGATATTCTGAGCCTCCTACCGGTGCCACCAATGGTCAATGGCCTTGTCTGGGATATTTTCCGCTGAAACACGCAGGTAGAAGTAAGACATTTCACGGGAGAATCAATCGAGTATGATGTAAAAATATTTGGAATGTACCGCTGTTTACTGCAGAAGTTGCTGGCATAAATTTTCGTTTTTCGGTCGCGAAATTTCTATGGGCTTAACGTTTGATGCGAAGTAAGAATAACATCACATCTCGGTATATAGGATATAATTAAGCAAGAGTGTTGATATAAGATTCCTTAATCAGTTTGGTTTATTCCTTGAGCTCTCTTTCTTGCTATTTCCTTATGACCTCACTGTTTGGCCTTTCCATAACATTCCATCTTGCAGTCTGTCCATATTTTAAGCGTTATAATCGTTGACCTAGGAAGCATTTCAAAAGTACTGTAGCCAAAAATGGGCAAATAGGTACTTTGCCTGATTTGCCTGACTTTGCCTGAAGAGTGACCCCCAGTCCCTACGTCTATGCCTATGATTAGGCGCTAGAGTTGAAATTAAGTAATGCGTTCTATGTTTTTCAGGAGGAAGGATTTCAGCCAGGGGGTGCAACCCTGCATAGCATGATGACTCCACATGGTCCTGATGCCGACTGCTTTGATAAGGCATCAAATGGCAAGTTAGAGCCAATGAGAATCGCCGATGGAACGCAGGTAGGACGAGCTTTTCCCCGCTTCAATTCAGGCACCAGCAACCAATCTATCTATTTATAGTTACACCAGTAGCTTCGCGCGCTCATTAGCACCCATTGTTTATGTGATTATTGAGAGATCTATCAATGAAACAACCATACTGGTGCGAATTTGTTTCATGTAGAATGGACTGACTTGGCCACGTGAGTAGCAGGTAGCTGCGCGAAACCTTAAAAGTGCAGTTACATTTACGCGCGGCAGCACGAGTTTCCCACCCGTTGCTGCTCTTTAAATCATTTTGCACTGTATGCCTGAAATTTGCATTGTGCATACTCGTAAAAAGTTTGTCGTAATTTGGAATTTCGTTGAAGGTATCTGTAACAAAATGTTTGACGGGAGACCGTACTATGTTTTGTTTTTGCTAGAAAATAAAGAGAACGTGGTTATAATGTTAAAAAGAGCTATATTAACAACGAAATAGAGAAGAAACAATGTCCATGCTCCTATCAATTACACTCAATTCTCAGAACGGTTGTAGTGGGAAATGTGGATAGCTCCTGTTAACCAAATTGTTACAAGGTCTCTGTCCCAGCAGTAAAAATCTGCATCGTAGAAGCCCAATTTTTTGGATTAAACTGCAAAGTTTCTTATAAAGGGAATGTATTTTGTGAAAAAGTCTTGTGAGTTTCTAATAAAATTCAGTTTCGTATAAGATGAAGAAAATAGCAGAATGTAAGATACCGTAATGCAAAGATTATACGTTTGGGTTTCTAATATGAGTACTATAACAGAATGGTAAATAACGAGGGTTGCGAAATGTATATAGGTGAAGTCACATGAGTAAGAAGCAAACAAAGTATGGTGGTACCCTACAAGGAGCAGCTTCGAAAGTAATCACAATTAAAAATTTTGAAAGAAAGTAATAAATTTTCAACAGACCATCGTTTTGAATACAATGCTTTGTTTCTGTAAAATTGCTTCTCCGATGCATTGTTTTTCACAAACCACTGCTCTTAATAAGCTCTTATAAGAAAATGAGGAAAATTTTTATATGTTGGTACATAACTTTGAAAAATCACCCTGCACTTTTTTATGAGTGAGTTTCGGTGGTATTTTACTATATTGTTCATCATTCTTTATGACCATTGCAAATTCCACAACGGAAACATTTCTTGCATAAATAAAAATATTAATTGGTCAGTTTCAACTTATGAACTTTCAATTCCCCTTAATAATAGTCTCTCAAATTGCTTTATTTTTTGCAATAATCCGCTTGTGGAAATAATTTAGTAAATGATCAGTGTTTGTTAAGGCCAATTTCTTTTCGCAGTTTCCGATATGACTTGTGTCTTTTTGTTTTGACGGCCATCGATGTTGCTAAGTAAAATATGATAGCAGCTAGGAATTTCGTTTAAGACATTTTGCTTAAAAGCTTTTTTCGATTTCAGCAATCAACTGCTTTTTGCTTATTTAGATGATTGCTTAAGGCTGACACATTGTTTCTATGGCGATTTTTCTTCTCTTAACTTATCCATGTACTCTGTTTTCTTTTTCGAAATAGCCTTTCGTGTTCACGTGACTTTCACTGCCAACAGCCAAACCTTTCATTGAAATGCCATCCATATTTCCTGCCGTTTATGCCAAGCCTTATTTCAAGCAAGAGAAAATTTAATATAAATCTCATTTCTAATTTGTGTGATAGGTATGGAATTAAACTCCATATAAATTCATTTCACCTAGTCGATGAAGTGTGCTTCTTTTATCTTTTATTTTTTATATGTAATTTCTTATTGTAATCTCTAATCAAAAACAAAACTAATTTTGATTCTACAAAATGACATATAAAACCATAATGAACCCCCAAGCTTTGCCAAAAGGTTTCTATTGAATGTTGAAATAAGGGCAACAATTACCTGCAGCGTTTTCCCTCAAGGCGTATTTGCCAAAAAATTATAGATTAAAAATGCATGAATGCTGTAAGGTTTCTTATTGCTTGATAGCAAGCCACAACTTAATAATATGACTGCCACGTTTACGGTTACGTGAATATTTTAGTGTTAAGGATTGAGCAGTGCTTCCACTTAGAAGTTTTTATCCTTTCTTTGGGAATTTTAGCCGATTAGTAAGAAATAAGAAGAAAATAGAATTTAGAAGGGATTTGAAAGGATTATTGAATTTGGACTACATAACCTCAAATACTTCTGAATGTATGAATTCAGTTAATTGTGTTAAGACTGGCTGAGATATGGGAACATGAGTACAGGATGCACTGCGGCTGACGACTGTTTATTGAAACAAAAGTAAATGAAATTGTGGTCTCATTTTATTCCAGAAAATTATATACGATTTTATATTTGCAAGTTCATTTCAGGAAATAATTCTTTGCTTGCCACATCCACTCTTGATGGTGGCACCTCTAATTGTCCCTTCGTTGATGTTTAAAGTATGCTCATAGTTCAAATCTTTTCTTCCAAAAGGCCTTCATGTTTGAGACTTCTTTAGGTCTCTCGTTAACTGAATGGGGAGAAAATACATGCCAGAAGATCGATGCTGATTACTTTAAGTGCTGGCAGCCATTGAAGAAGAATTTTAACCCAAATTGGAAGCTCGGAGATGATGAGTAAGTCATAAATTATAAATATTTAGATGAAACGCAGACATTTGAATCCCGTTTGCTATGAAGCAGCTCTTTTTGTACAATTATTTATGGCTGCTTTTCACATTACCAAGCAATAGGGGTATTCTTAATGAAAATTTGTTTTCAATATTTTATCAACTCGAAACCTGAAAATGGCATTTTCCTAAGTTTCTATTCTACTTTCACCAGTCTTTCTGATAAGAATAATGTTTGCAGTAGCAATAAACGAGTTAAAAACAATACATGAAGTTTTTTTCGAGTAACGAAACCTGTTGGGAAACTTTCAAGTAGTCTTTAGTTTGGTATGAAATCAAACTCCTCTTTACAGCATGAGTAAATACGTTTATCAAAATTCACATTGCTGAGATGGGCTAATCTTGGCTTGTGGAGTCTTTGTCTAGCTCGTCTCTGTTTAGACATCACGCTAGAAAGCAAGAGGTTTGCACATCCTTTCGACAGTAGACAAGAAACAATTAAATCTTTTATGCTTTATTAACACAGTATCGAGAGAAAAAAGATATGTTAAATGATTGTACAAACGATAACCAAAATAATTACTACGTCTAACACGATTCATTGTTAGAATTCAGTTTGCTTTGTTGTTGGTAAACCTCGAAATTTAGTTAATTTCAATGAATGCAATGCTAGCTTAAGTAACAATGCTTATGATTAGGAAAATTGAAGAGGATTCAGGGAATTTTAATTCGAAAATGAAAATGTTTATTGGAGAGCCGAGAAGCATTTTTGTTGACTAAGAACGTAAAATTTCTCTCAGTTTAGGGAGTTGCTACTGTTATTTGCACAATAACCTTGAAAGATTAGCTTTTTATTGATTCCTCTTAGTAAAGTCTTGATAAGAATAGGATTATCTGCAAAGCAGCCGTTAAGGAAAGGGAAAATCTATTACTAGGACCTTCAGAATAACAACTGTGAATAGCTGCTTTCTCAAAGATGCGTATCTTGAGCGTTAACTTGCTTATAGGTGAGTAGAGAGCCCTTTATGGGCCTACTAGATAGCAGATACCCATTTTAAATAGCTCTTCACAGGGTGCTGCCATGCAGTTTCCATTCACGCTCTTTTATAGGTTTCATAAGAGGCTTATTTTCACACAAATTTATCAGGGAAAGATGTATCTATAAATCGATGTTGTTTATGCATTGCTCGTCAGTTCATATAAATATATTGAAACGAGGCTCCATAACATTAGGAGAGTGATTTGCTGTTTGAGACATAAAATACTGTCTGCAAAGAGATATGATATTATCCTATCTAAATGCATGTTTGCGCTTTTTTTTGAAGAAAAAGTCTTGACTTTAAGATAAACATCAATTGGCTGTCTATCCATTGACGTTAAGGACACAACTTTTCGCGCTCTTTTTAAGCATGGGAAAGAAGAGGAAAGACTGAAATCAAAACGAAATAATTTTTCCCGAAAAACACATCCCTCTAAGAACATAAAGTTTCACTTTGATACTTTCAACCATCATTATGAATTTCTTTTATATTAATCTCCGATTCATTCTATCTTCATAAGAACATTCGTGACTGTGTCTACTAACCTCTTTTTTCTCCTTTTCAGAAGTCAAAGCAAAGCCAAGATGTCTTATTCCGTTTGAGGCTTGCATTGTCTGAGTGACTTGTGCACTATCCTTGTAGATTATTTTAGTATTTATTGATGGCATAATAGTAGCAAGTTTATCTTGATATTCTTCTTTTAGGGTTGATAAATCATATGGAATTTGCAGAATTTCTGGAAAGTATTTAGATAACTAAACAGTGGGCATTGAGTGTGGAATTGTGTAGAATATTGGTACTGGCATTTAGGGAGCAGACTGTTGTATCTTCAAATGTAAGAATTAAGAATTTCCCCCCTCCCAGGAGAAGTCCATAACAAAGCATTTGCCTGCAATGCCCGATAGTTATTGTATGTTTTGTTTTGTTGGCAGTGAAATAGTTTCTTAACTATTAACCTTCAGTATGTTTTTAATCAAAATAGTTTTCTTTGGGTAACCGATTTGTCTCAGCCAGCAATGTTTTGCGACATTGTTAAATGTAGAGTGAGAGATGTCGAATGTGCTCATTGAAATTTTGTTGTTGTGTTTAAGCGTCTATGTAGCTCTGCAGTTATCGTCCTCATTGGCTTGTATACCGTTTTGGGGGTACCAGGTATTTTGGCGTGATTGCATAATCGGCGTATTTTCGATGCGTGGATTTGTGAAACAAATTTTTATTATGCGTAAAGTCGTAAATAGACATTCTCGCCTGACCTGTGAATCAGCTTTACTCATGGCGTCATTGCGTGAAAATGAGTTCTGGAAAGCGAATTTCGAAATGGAGTGCTTTCGTTTCGTTTTTTATTATTCAGAGATTCCAATGCCGATAGCTCTGCCAACAAATATTACTCTTAATTGATAGTTATTAGAAATTCAGAGAGCTTCTAGGGGGCGTGATCGTGAAATTTAATTTCCAGTACTGTGAAAACGTGATTTTGCCTTGTCTTGTTGGTAGCTTTTTAATGGAGTTGTCCCAATGAATGAACTGCAAATGGATGTCAATCCTCTTTCTGCTTCATGCACGAAGCTAGCACTGAAAATGTGGGCGGGCAATAGGGTCGAAGCCAAACAGTTTTTTTGGAGAGATAAGTGTTTGCTCAACTTCGCTTTCACTTAACTCAAGAAATTGTTTCTAAAATTGCCTTGAACACACATGCTTGCTTTGATTAAGTTATTTTCTTTTGTCTAGTTTCGAATCTTTTCCCTTGTCTAGTTTCCAACCTTTTTCGTTGAATATATTGAAAATTGGGCGATTTTACAAGTTTGCTACAGATTTCTGCTGTTTTGGCATGGTTCATCAAGATTAGAGCAGACATAAAATTACAGTGACTTGATGGGGACAGAGCTTGTGCTCATGTTTCCACATCACAGCCAGTCGTTAACACATTTAACTGATTTTGCACATTGAGAGATCTTTCATGTTCTGTGATCCAAATTCAAGCATTTAAAAACAGAAAAAACAGCTTTTTATGATGTAGTAGCAATTCTACGAATGTTATCAATCATGCGGAGGAGATTCCATTGTCATTTTTTTTTCATTTCTTTATTATAAGTTGATGTATACAAAATAGCTGCAACGGCTAATTAAAACTAACGAACTAAACTAAAACAACATAAACGCTGTTTGAATTTGACAAGTTTTCATTAACCTCTCACTGATTAAAAATGCAATTTTTCATTCTTTTAAACGCATTTCAACAATTTCCTCTCAGTTTCGTAGAAAATCCTTCCAAGTTCCTTATTATTAAAAATTCCTTCTTCTTTTCCTTCCAATCGGCCGAAACTCCCAAAATAGGATAAACCCTCCCAAGTGGAAGCACTTGGGTAAAGTATTGCTTTTTGCCGACAAAAGGGCGTGACTCACTCTTTTTGGGTGTGGTCATAAGATAAGTAATTTTATATGCTGCTTTTATGTGTTTTTATTTAATCATTCCGATTTCTAAAATTTCAATTTGAAATATTTTTTAGTGCCATACTTAGAAAGTTGAGCTGCTACAGAAATCAAAGTTACAAAAATATTTAAATAACACTACAGGGCGAGAAAAAAAGTATGGGGAGAAAGTGCCCTCCATTAGCGACGCTCCTGGCAGACAATGCCGAGTGAAGGTCGGCTGTTTGAAGGCCAGAACTTAAGTAACAGTATTGACGAACCCTAAAAAATTCAACATCTTGCAATTGATACAGAGTTTGTTACAGATTTATCATCTTGCACCAGATAAAGAATTCTTTGTAAACTTCCTTCACTGACGATTGGAAACGCAAACATCTGAAGGGGGGCTTGTTATCTATTACGTATTTAACAGAATAAATAAAAAAATCAACTGTTCAAGGGAAGTAAGCCATAATGCAGGGCCGTAAATCCCGGGGGGGACGGGGGGGACTGGACCCCCCCAAAAATCTGGAGCAAAACGATTTTTTGGAGAAATCACCATCATTTTCCTTGAAAGAAGGAAATCCCTGGTAGCCGGGTTAGAACCAAACTACGTTTTTCTGTGTTATTGCAACAAACCTCAGCCACTAAGGTTATTTTTGTAAGCAGAGTGGTTTTTATAATTTTTACAAGATAAAAACTTACCGTTTTCTACCGTTTTTTACTTTTTTCTACCGTTTTATTCTTGAAAACAGAGAATGAAATAAAAAGAGAGCAATCTGTCATTTTATTTGACCTATTTACTAACTTATTTACGTACATTTCTATTATTTGTCTATTATTTACTTTTATTTAGTAGATCACTTTTTGTATCATTAAAATGTATTCATTTTTGATGTGTAAAAATGGCCTACACAATGTGTGACAATGGCCTAAAATGGCCTGAGAAACGTTGAACTTTCTATCCTGAGCAATTCTAGTATTTTATTAAATTTAGTCTGAGGGATGCTTTTTTAGCCTTTCTAGAAGGTAAAATTTAAAAAATTTTCTTCCGCGTCGGACCCAACCATGGTGGGTCCTCCTACGACAGTAAACTGGATTTTTAGCTCCCATGGTTCAATTTCTTGGGGCCGTCTTTGAAAAATGTTATCCATCCAATCATACACAAAAAAGTACTAAGGAATATCTGTAAATACCTTCTATAGAGCAGAAAGTCTTGAGAAATCCAAAAATATTGACTTTTGTTTTTAAAGTAATTTGCCCCTTAACTGTTTCCATAACACATACCATAAATCCCTTGTGTTGCCATGACCGACTGCATACTTTATATTCATTCGCTCTGCTGACCCCCCCTAATTCACATGACAGATTTACGGCCCTGCATAATGATAGGAACAACGGAGCCTTATCATATTTAAAAAGTCATCAAACTGCAGTGATATCAAAGATTGACGATTAAGGAAATTCGAGCTTCGCTTTGCAGCTTGGCATCTTCGTTGGAAGAATCTATCTTGCTCAGTGCCAAAAACAAGCACTCAACGCAGGCCTAAGCATATCAGCAGTTGTGTCAACTCGATATAGCATTGTGTAGACTGTTGCACAGTCAATATTGGTTTTCACCATGATTGCACAGCGACTTTTTTCGCTTTATTCAGAGCGACTTTTTTCGAAAGGAAGGCGCTGTTATTTTAGACATCAAATGTTTCTATCCTAGAATCTTTGGATGGGCAGAGAGAGGCAAAAAATTATAGTTAGGCGGGCAATGCCTCCGTGCCCCCCCCCCTTTGGTTTCGTGCCTGTCTGTTTTGTCATTTCTGTATCGAATCCCTTATTACCACTCACGGTGATCCAAGGCACAAGGCTCCTTATGCAGTGTTCAGCGCAATCACTGCTTGGATTAATAGGATATTTCTTTACTTGAAAAGCAAGCATCTCTTGATCATTTATATATTCATTGAGCAACAGGCCATTCGCAAAAGTTTCATGAACCGTTATAAAATTGTATACCTAGTATGCAGTGGCGTGGGTACGGGGTACGGGTGTAGGGGATCCGATCTCCACTTTTGAAAATATCATGGTCTTCTACAATCGTAAAAAAAGCAAATGATTCGGCATAGATGGGACAAGGATGGCAGAACCATTCCGATGTCGATAAGGCACATTTCCGTAAAACTTAGGGCAAATGCACCCTGGTGTCCCCATGTACCACCCTCCTTGGGATGAGTGGTGGCAGATCCATTACACGTTACGTTACGTCATTGCAAAAAGGCTTGATACCTAAGACATTGAATGGGCATTCTCTCCTTTTCTGGATGTATAAGGGAGCTGATTGAGCATAATTTTCCCAGGGGCTTCAAACAACCCCAGGAGCTGTCACTTTCCAGGAGCCGTGTGCGCTACTGCTTGCACACCATTTTGTAGTGCCTAAAATTCGTATTTTCTTTTCTCGCCCATCATCAAGGGAAAAGTGTATGAATGTGAATTAAAGCTTTTAGCGAGTTGCAATCTCCATCGTTTCGTTTTCCTGCATTATCAAAGTTAAAATCCCCATCTACAGCAAAGATACTGGAATTTCCCAGCTATATTTTCCCGCCATGTATCATAAAACGTTGGTTGTTTACAATTTAGAATTAGGCGCCAAAAGGAGTGCGCCAAAATTAATAAAATTTCCTCCACCGTGATTGGTTTTACAGAATCTCTATTGTCAAATATTGAAGTTTCATTGGTTTATAAGAACGACTTGTACTACAAAACAATCCGTCTTTTGTTCTACAAGGTTTTGATTGGTTAAAATGATGTATTATACATGAATGACTTGAGTCACAAACCACGTTTTCGACCAGACCCTGGTTGTACTGCCATAGTATTGTTGCTTCGAATTCCTTCTCGTCATGGGCAAGAAAGAAACGAAAATAATTCTTGATCAGAGCGATGATCAGTGTGTTGTGGAGCTGGAACCGCTGAATCCGGATCAGGTGTGTTTTTTATTCAAATACTTTCTCATAAGGGCAGCTAAAAGCAGTCCTCACTTTGTGGGAAAAACGTGGCTCAACCGCAAAATAGAATGAATTCTGACTCGAAACATTTCTCATAGATGCTAAATGCTTTACTTATTTTTTTCAAGAAGCCAAAATATCTTAAATCCGATCTTTAGAATGATTTTAGTTTTAGATTATTCGATGCAATGCATTGTCAAAATAATCCCGGCCATTTTCATGGCTGTTACCCTCAAGGATGTTTTCAACAATCATTTGTCTCGGGAATGCTCTACATTTTTTAGATCCCACTTTTCATAAATTATGGAATCTTTTTCCAACAATATTTTGATATAATGGCAGATAACAAGTTTTGTCACGATAAAGTGATAGGCCGTTTCATTCATTAGGTAGGCGGCATTTTCCGATTGACTTGCTAACAAGCAACAAAACCGCGTGGCCAGGAAATGAGTGAATATGACTCTCGTTTTATATTTAATTTTGAAGACAATATGTGTAAACCTTGTGCAAAATTTGGACAGTTATATAATTGGCTGGGTGATTATATTTGTGAAAAGTCAAGACTGAAATCACTACGTTGAATGAAATCGGTGGTCTGCGAGGAATTCCAGAAATTTTGCATTGCTTTTATTTTTTTATTCTATTTGCTACAAATTTTCATTTAATTTATGCTTCATCAATAACGCACAAGGTTAGATTATGACATGGACACTAAAAAGCTTTACTATGTTCGTATGTATGTTTTTGCCTACGTCGTCAGGGCAGGCTCAAAGTCCATGTTTTGATAGCAACCCGCCTACGACACACCTTCGCCGATCGGGTCAGCTGACTTTCTTAATTCATAGATCCTCAATTGTGATTGTTGATGCGTTAGCTACAAATGGATACATTATTTTAACAGAAGTCAGGGTGCATTCCATGTACTTGGGCCCGAAGATCTTCGGCGTACACCTTGGGTTTTTTTTCGGCGTTCGGCGTGCAAACCAATAAAAAATATTTCGGTGTACTTAAATTTTCGTTAGTTGGCATGCTAAACATGAAGCCATGTACATAGTTAACGTGTAAAATAAAGACTCATACACCAAATTTTTCTCTAATAATCAGTTTTGTTTGTCTGGGGCAACAATGTTTACAGTTTTACTAACTCCTTTTATATTTTCGGCGTACCTAAAGAAATGGAATGGAATGCACCCTGGAACAGAAGAAAATATGTTTGGAATCTTGCAAAAGACTGCTAGAGGGCATTCAAAAGCCACGACCCATTGTGAATCACAGAAGAAAGTTAATAAAAGGACTCACGAAGTGTGAGATGGTGTTTATGTTCGTGTCTAAATGGAATAAATTCATTGAATTCCCAGGCCATATATTTTTATTTTATATATATATTATATATATCTTGTCCTTGTTCTATTCTTCTTTTTTTCCATTTCCTCTCTGTACTTGCAACTTATTTTCATTTTAGGTTCTCAAACTTTTTTAAATTAGCAACATCTTTCTTGTACAAACAAATTTTAGAAAGTGAAAATTATGATTTTTTGTGAACAGAGCATTGACGAGAGCACATGGAAAAGAAATAGTAGACACGAAGATGATTCTAGTCTTGGCTCAAGCAGTTCATCAGATAACTGCCAAGAATGTGAGTCAAAGCTGGGTCTTTTTTATAAAGAAAACAAGTCAGTCATCAATGGAATCCTTTCAGCTATTCTCCTTTCCATGTTCCTTGCCTACTTTGTCGTTGCCTGTTACCTGGATTTTGACCGAGCAAGGGATCTGTTCATTGTCACCATGGTCTCAATGTTCTTCTTTCTCTACTATAAAATCAAAGGATGTTGTGGTGATTGGACATACAAATCTATTTGTCTACCAATGGCTACATGCGTTCAGAAAAGATGGAAAATTTTGCGCTGGTATGGAGTGTTTTTTGCTATTTTGACTAACAGGATTTGAGGAAGAAATTATTGTGGGGGAATGCGTTCCCTGCTCATACCCAAACTTTGCAGTTAGGGTGCCATGCTTCCCTTGGAAAGGTGTGCAATTGAATCAAGTTATTTGCTATGTTAAATCTGCAGTGCTTCCACTTTTTACTTGACCGATTTCCCAAGAATATCCTTCTATTTGCTTAAAATTCTTTATGGGCTAATGACCTTTGATATTTTTGCTTTCAAAAACTCAAGAAGAATTGTCCCTTTTGGTTGGGAGAAGTGTAAATATTTCTATATATAATGAATATTTTTATATATTTATATTGTATATAATATATTTATAAATATCTATAACTTACTCAATGTATGATCACTTTTCATATATATATATGTTTATAATGTATAAATATATATCTATCTTGAGACACATGGTAATGATGACCAACCCCTAAATGCCATGTTTCCTTTCAGGGTGTGGTATGTGTCTCTTCTTGCTATCATTGGACTTATAATTGGATTTGATACAATCAAGCAACCTAAACGTCTGGTTTCTGTTGCTGGTTTGCTGGTATACATTGGAATCTGCTACTTTTGCTCAAAGTATCGAAGACAGGTATATATCATTGAAAAATCTTATTCATGTGCCCATATAATTATTTGGTGAGCATTGTTTCAAACCATTTTTTGCAAATTCCTATAAATCACGACAATTAAGACAAGTTAACAATCGTATAGATGACAGGTCCAGTAATCAGGCTTTCGTCGGAAAGGCGTGCGATCGCACGCGCACGCACTGGCGCACGCCTGCTGCTTTCCAGGAGTGCAAAACATCGCACGCCTTCTTTTATTATCGGAGCAAAATTCATAATTATTGGTTTTGTGCGTTTTTGAGATGAGTTAATATATTGATCCCTCCTTGGTACAATTACTTAATGCCACTTCAAAAAGGCTTGACACCTTTTCAGGATTGTGGATTAAATATAAAATTTTGAAATAATCGTAGAACTAATCTACAGTGGAATCCTGATATTATGAAACCTGACCTGGTTACAAGTACAACTAATTTTCCGGCATGACAAAAAATGTCTGGCCCCTTGAACTCTGTCTCTGCACATTTTCCCTCTGTATAACGAATTCCGTATATAACAAATTCTCGTTATAACGAACCTGATTTAGTCTCTTCATCATAATTTTCCTCAAAATGACGAACTTTTCCAAAAATATTTTGGTCCACTTATTCCCGGTGTATATTTATCACTATTTCTCGGTGGAGTCATTATTGTCAGCGACAAAACATACATTGGCAAACATGCACTTTTAATTATGCAAAAAAGGAGAAGAGATTTGTGCAAACGTTTACACCTTTTCAAGGCTTTAAGGCATTTCATTGAACAAATACAAACACAGAAGACTATAACAGACATTTTTTTGTCCCCGAATTTTAAGAGGAACATTTAGTGTTTTCAACAAGACTTTCGTTTTCTATCGCTAATGTACAAAAGTAGCCGATTTTGCGATAAAAAGGAGCCGATTTCCCAATGATGCGGAAAAAAAATAACAGAGGATTTGCGGATTTCGCTACCCCCTACAGCCCCCTCTTTAGACATCGCTATGCTTTAAATCTAGATTCTAGCAACATTTGATTTAATGAAAATTGGGTCATCATTATCTTTTATGTATCTGGCCAGTGAGGTACACAAAATAGCTGTCATGTTTGATAACAAAGGGCTCTTGGTGCACTGATTTACACGCAAAAACTGCCATTACAACCAGATGAACGCCAAAGTATCAATGATTCTACTAAGGATTCATTATTGAAGCTAATGAAAACTGCTTACGACATGGCAAACATATTTCTATACTTGTAGTGCCGTTTTTTTGGATATATTAAATAAGCTCAGTTTATACTTGTTTAGAAAATTGCTCAGTTGCTATAATGTAAGTAGTCGTGGTAAGAATTCAGCGAAATAAATTTCATCAAATTATTGCTGTCATCATTTTCGTGTTGGCCATTTCTTCGTAGATCTACCATAATTACCAAAATGTTTTGTGAAAAAATGTCACACGCCATCACACGCCTGGATGTTTTCAGGGGTGCGGTGGTTAGCACGCCTGCTATATTTTTCCCACGAAAGCCTGAGTAATTGAAAACATTTGTATAAAAACAGTACATACCTTTTTTATAATTGAGTCAATAAGTTTGTATGAGATATATAATATATATTTATTTGGATGCCATAGAAGTGGGCTTAGGTCTATGAAGACTTTAAATCTTGTGTGTATGTAGAACATGGTTCTTCAAACTTGTAAATATGAATTTCAGGCTGAAGTCTGCATTCAGCAAAGAGCATTCAGATTTTTCATCCAGTTATCTCATATTTTTATTTGCACTTTTTGTTCTCTTTTGGATTTTTAGATCAGATGGAGACCTGTTCTTTGGGGTATTGGTATTCAGTTCACGCTTGGATTTTTGGTTCTCAGAACAAGACCTGGATTTTTGGTGTTTAAATGGCTTGGTGACAGGGTAGCTCGGTTTTTGAGTTTCTCAGATGCAGGAGCGAAGTTTGTGTTTGGTGACAACTTGTTGGATCATCCATTTGCCTTTAAAGTGAGTTTTGGTTGCACAAACACTGCTGTGTTTACTTTTGACACCCCCTTTCTAATCAATGCTTCATAAGTTATTAGTTGACAACAAAGTGTCATTGCAAAGATAGCTTAACTGAAAAGTTTTGTAATAATCTGTGATAAATACCTGGAGGGTTACAGAAACTAGAGTGACCAAAATCAGAGCTAACTATAGCTTTTGTTTGAATATCTAGCATTGTCCTGCAACCAGGAACATGAATAGAAAGAATTTGATGTGTAGTTGTCTGGACATTAAAGTAAATAAATAGCAGGTCAAGGCAAAAATAGATATTGAATCTGCATAAGTTTTGCTTATTATAACTTGACATCAAAATTATGTAATGTCAAGCAGCTTTTGAAAAGTTGATTATACATGTAAACTTTCTCTTGCATCAAGGTTCTCCCGGTGGTTGTCTTCTTCAGTTCTGTTATCTATGTGACTTATTATCTTGGTGTGATGCAAGCAGTCATAACAAAGATTGCATGGCTGATGCAGTGCACGTTAGGAACATCTGCTGCTGAGTCACTGAACACTGCAGGAAACATTTTTATCGGGCAGGTAGGTAACTGGTGTGTTATCTAGGCCAAGAGATATTTCTCAACTACCTTTTGATCCCTAACAGCCTTTTAAAATGCATGTTAGTTAACAGCATGTTGTCTTTTGATTTTGCAGCAGACAATTATGGTATTAATTATGGTGTAGGGGAGGTTTTATTAACATATTTGGGTTGCACTTAGGGACCCAATGTATCATTTATATGCAAGTTTAATACAAAGCTATAATGGTGTTCATAGATTTACAGCTACTAGTTTCTTATTTTTTTTAGTATATGGTATAACTATTGGCTTTCAAGGAAAACAATGAAAACTTTTGTTAGGTTTTTGATAATTGCAATGTTGTGAATACAAATTTCCATTCACAGACTGAGGCTCCATTGTTGATCCGTCCCTTTCTCCCTGATTTGACCATGTCAGAATTGCATGCAGTTATGACTAGTGGGTTCGCAACGATTGCTGGTTCAGTTCTTGGTGCTTATATCTCATTTGGTGTACCAGCCACTCATCTGTTATCGGCCTGTGTTATGAATGCTCCAGCAGCACTGGCAATATCAAAACTAGTTTATCCTGAAATAGAAACACCAAAGACAAATGAGGTTGACAAGATTACTGTTGAAAAGGGGTAAGAATGTTACAAGGTTCAGAGGCAAATTCACTCTTTCTGTTTGACTAACTACTTCTAATGAATCAGAGTTAAAAAAATCACTTCACATAGAAAGGCTCACGAAAAATGTGCTCATAGGAAGCTTTAACATTTAATGACAAATCATTGTTTGCTAATCACTGATGTTTTCTGTGTCTTCCAGCCTTTCTCTTTTAAAGAACAGAACAGTCACAATTCTATATCAATTGCTTTGATCGAGAAATTCTTACACAATTTTCACACCATACCCCCCTTCCCTGAATATGGAAATTTAGGATTTTACCATATCCAGTTACCTTTGTTCTGGCATCATTTGCCCAATGGAATGGGGATCAGTTACTTGCTTTCGTGCTAGTGTTGGGGTGACTGTTTTTCATAGCACATCAAATTTTGCATATCCTTGAAATGTTTAATTGATGTTTTTCATGAGCTTGTTTCAATTGTCCTTATTTATTCTTTTTGTAGGAAAGAAAAAAATTTGGTTGAAGCATTGGCAGCTGGTGCAAGCATGTCGATTACCCTCATTGCTAACATTGCTGTGAATCTAATGGCATTTGTAGCAGTTTTAGCATTTGTTGATGCAATTTTGATGTGGCTCGGTGGCATGGTTGGAGTACCTACTTTGTCCTTCAGTGTAAGCATTATCACTTTTCAGTATCACCATGTTATAGATCCTGTTCACACAATCTGGCCAGATTTGCCCTCAACTCCAACATCAATTTTCTTGTAACATTAAGAAATGGTTACTTGCAAAAAGGCTTGTTAGAGAAACAACAACCATTACTCTTCCTTGGCTTTAGGCTCTATTTTACAAGGTCTTATTGTAGAAAATATATTTTTTGGCAATATGATATCATCTGTTTAGCAATGGCAATATGTAATGCTCATCTGAGATTTTACAATCTTTTCTAGTTGATAGCATCATACTTGTGCATGCCCTTGGCTTACATAATGGGTGTTGAGTGGAATGATGCTTTTGAAGTAGGCAAATTACTTGGTATAAAAACATTCCTCAATGAGTTTGTTGCATACAAGGAATTAGCAAAGATGATTGAAAACAGAGAAAAAGGTTTGGCTGGACCAAAAATATCGGTAGGTGAACTTTATTTTAATGCAAAAAAATTCACAAAATTGTATCAAATGTCTCTGGAATTCGTATTTATATGCTTACTTTTATCATCATTTATCATAATCGTAAGTAGTACTTTTCAGTCAGATTTTATATTGATGAGACATAATGAGAAATGAGCCAAAGACAGCCACAAAGCTGCAGGGGGGCATTTTGGCAACAACTTGCCCCCTCTGGCTATAGTTTTTCCAAATGATATTTTGAAAAGTTTGCATAATTATAATTCTGTGAGCTTGATTTAGTCCAAATATAGCTGTTTGTTAAATATCTGTTTTCTTGTTTTAAAGCATGCCCCTCTTAGGTATGGTTCTTGCTCGAGTTTGCCCACCCTAGCTGACATCTACAGCTACGTGGTTGGCCAAAGATAGTAGTTTTGATTCATAATTTTATGAATGTAATCACATTTCAAGTATTACATTGAAATAAAAAATAATTTCAAACTTTTTCTCACCTTTTAGCCACGTTCAGAAGCAATAGTAACTTATGCATTGTGTGGATTTGCAAACATTTCCTCTGTTGGTGTACAGATAGGTGGGCTAAGTGCTCTTTCTCCCAACCTTGCCCCAAAACTGGCAAAAATTGCCTTTAGGGCTCTTTTTGCTGGAACAGTTGCCTGTTTCACAACAGCATGTATTGCAGGTGTGTGTAACATACAAATTATGTTGTTATAATCTTTTTCATTTTGAAGGATTGCTATTTGTTTCTTCTTATTTTTGTTTAATTTGTTGCCATCTATGTTTTTGATATTTCATTGCAATAATATTGGCAATCAAGAAAATCTAAATTTTATCTATGACCGTGACAACAAACCAAAACTCAGATTTTTGGATAGTTGGAGGGTCATGGTAGCCAACCTTCTGGTAGAAAATGGTACCTGATTATGATGAAATCTTTATAAGACTTAATTGTTAACTTTGAATTTTCAAATTAGCAGTGCTACCTATCTTTTTTTACTATGGCATTTTTGGATTATGTTTGCCATTTTTGTCTATTCATTCAGTTTTTAGCTTTGCATTTTATGTCATCTATATCAGATATTGAAATGATAGTCTTGATTTCCGTTTTTGCTAACTCTACCATAATTAGATTCACTTTAATATATTTACGAATGTTTTAAATTATATTGTTTTTTTACCAGCAACAGTTTTTTGCTAATTCATAACGAAATTATATTTATAACGAAACCATAAAAGTTTAAATTTCATTTTCAGGAATTCTATATGATGCATCAATCGAAGGCGTTGTAGTAGCTTCAGGTGCCTCTAATTCAACATTGTCGCTCTTAAACAGCACCTTGACTCCATTCCTAACCACAACAGTTAACACAACTTTCGCATCTTGAATACCCATTATATTTTCAGAACTCACATAACTTGTATGTAGATAGCTTTGTATATTAGATTTCATAAGTTAAATGTATTAGGTCCTTCCTTAATGAATTTTTCACAAAGGTTTTAAGGGGCTTTCACTCCTTTAGTTTAGTATGGATGATTGAAAGGCTTCTTGAATACTGTAATATCATTTGAGCATAAAATGGGCAATCAAGTCAATAAAACAGGTGAAATACCTCCATTAGATGCACTGGTCTTCATCATAAACTTTCTACTGCATACCCTTGTATGCATGCTGAATACCTTGAACCTTATATGGTAAAATTTATATTCGAACCTTGTATTTGTGTCAACAAAGATGAGAGGAAAAACATGTTGATAAAATCGCTCGCCCATACGGTAAATGACTGAATAAGCCTCCAGGACTCTAGGAACCCAGGGCTAGGATAATAGCCAGGAGTTGGTGTCTGCCTTTAGACCAACGTTTTATCAGTCCCATGCTCAAGCTCGGATAACCCACCCATGGGCTCAAACTGGATACTTGATATCTGTCCTTTACGGCATTGCCCTGATATACTGGCTCTAGAAATAACTGGATTTGAAAGTGGGCAATTTTGGTTGACTTTATTGTATTAAGATAAAGTAATTCTGCAATTGTTTCTTACGTCTTCCTCATTGGCTGTTTCATATCGATTAAACCCAATATTTATTATACATGTTGTTTGTAAATGTGTCTAAAAGTTCCTACTATTATTACAGCATGCGTTGTGCCTTTGGCATGGAATTTATGTATGATAATATTGCTGTATTTAAAAATGTTTTCATTTAAATGATCGCAGTTTTACTTCATGTCTAATGATCAATTTTCGTCAAGTGCCAAACCAGTTCAATAAATCAATGGCATGACTGGTGTAAATTAAGTAATAGGGTTGAGACCCCCAGAATTTTATTGGATGAGGTGCTTTTAGTGATCATTCACACAATGTTCTTCGCAAGCGATCGTTTTCTATTGAAAATATTTTCAGCGTATTTGTATATATAAACATTTGATTGATATAACCTCATTGTAAATTCGTATTTTCCATATTTATGAGAATTTCTGGGTGAAAATGTGCTCATTGCTCATTTTTTTTCTTTATTTTTTGTTTCCAAACCTTCCAAACCTTTGTATCTATTTAATGCTTTTGACCTTACATCTAGCATCCGCAACAATATAGTAAACACAACTCCGGAAGAAATGTGCACAAATCTTACATTGGTATAGCAGAAAAACTTTTAGACAATGCTATTCCAACCACCTAAAATCCATCAAACATTAGATGTATGAAAATATTACGAAGCTACCTAAATTGTCTTGCAACTAGAGAGGAAAAAGGAGGACTTTGTTATCCTATGGTCAATAAGAAGAAAGGCAGAGGCCTATTCTAACAAATCTAATGATGTCCGCTTAGCTTGGAAGAAAAACTTGCCATCATTAATTCCAGTAGACAACCATAAAGAAAGTAGTTCTAACAGTTGACTGATGATCGCATTAAGCCTGAAACTCGGAGAGAAAACGAGAAACGTTCTGTTCTATACACCAAAAAGCGTGTACAGGTAGACAGTCATTTGCATAATATCAGGAATTAACAAAAGTGATGCACCCATTGATTCTGCTCACGCTCCATGTGTGCTAGAATTATGTGGGTATTTCCATTCAGAAAGAAAAAGATTGACGATTAGTGTGCCGTCTTCTAATTCCTTAATCAGATGTTGCACCCAGAAATACCACAGTCAGTAAATTTGCAAATACAAACCTTTGACTGGTATTCTCACGTTTAAACAATGCCATCTTGAAACTTGTCTTCTTGACTAATCCATCAAACACAGTTCGTATGAAGTAGCCAATAATCTCGTTGGTGGAAAATTAAAATGGTTGTCACAAAACATCCTCTTTTCCACTTGCCCACCTTTTCATTTGCAATTAAACTGACATGATTTGATTCACAATAAATCATTCCTAACAGAACCAATACACAAGTTGTGCTCCATGAGCCTCAAATGGAATATCGGAATGCTCATTTTCCTAAAAAAAATTGCCGCGAGGAACGCGGATTCGGAAATTGGCTGGTTTCCATGAAACTGGGAGTGTAGGATGGAAACAAATGAGCTCTCCGAAAGCTTCACAAATTATTCACAACTGATTTAAAGTTTTTCGTAATAACTTTTAATAGGAAATAAGACCTTTCCACCATGAAAAATTACATATAGGAATTCAAAACTTTAAATTAATGATATTGAAATTAAAAAAGTCTTGAGAATCGGAGATAAATTAAATTTTTGACGTGTAAGTGTGTTCTTAATTCATCATCATCGGATACCATTTTCAGAAGGTTGGCTACCATGACCCTCCAACTATCCCTATCCTCAGAATATCTTTAAGCTTTTCCAATGCTCTCACATCCCCTTCATTCCTCAACATCGCCTCCCCATGTTCTTCTTTGTCTTCCCCTGTCTTTTTTCCCGTCAATCATACCTTCCAAATCAAGCCTTGCCAAGAACCCGGACGATCCCCTCATAATGTGGCCAGCAAATCTCGTTTTCTTTTTATCATTTCGTTGACTAAAACTCTCTGATGTCCAATTGTTTCCAACACTTTTCGTTGGTTACTGTTTCAGTCCAGCTTATTTTCAGAATTCTCCTGTAGCACCACATTTCAAAAGGATAAAGTTTTTATTCTATTACTTTGCTGTATGCCCATGCCTCGCTTCCATATCCTACTGCTGAGAAGATGTAGGTTTTAAGTAGCCTTAATTTCAAATTGATGTTGATGTTGCTTCTCAAAATAACTTAAATTTCTAAAAATTACTTTTTGCTTTTCCTATTCCTCTTCTGACTTCTTCCTCAGCTTTTTCCATTATTAACTATCCAACTTCCTAGATATTTGTATTCTTTTACTTGTTCTAGCTCTGTTCTAGCTTGTTCTTATCTATTACCATTACTTTTAGTTTCTTTGGATTTAGACTCATTCCATATTCTACACATTTTTGATGGAGCTCAGTAATCATTTTTTGAAGATCTTCTCTACTTTCTGCAATTAGTACCGTATCATCAGCGAACCTAATATTGTTTATATTTTTCTTCATTGATGTTTAGCCATTTTTGTTGCTTCCTCAATTAGGAATTCGAATTACAGGTTGAATAGAATTGGTGATAGGATGCAACCCTGTCTAACGCCTCTTTTTATTTCAATTTTTTCACTCTCCCCTTGGTTGGTTCTTACACTTGCTTTCTGTTCCCAATACAGATTAGCAATTCATCTGATTTCATGATTAGAAAATCCCGTTCTTTTCATTATTTCGATCAGTTTGTCGTGTCTTACTCTATCAAATGCTTTGTGTAATAGATAAAACAAAGATAAATAATGGAATGAAAGAAAATCTTTACATAGACATAGCTGTCAAAGCAAGAGTGAAAAATACAATTTTTTAAATGCTCAAATTTTTGAGCTTTAAGCCATTATTGGAAGTCGAATTTTTGTCTCAAAGAATGTACTTGGCTTTTTAGGATTTTTAGCCCCTCCTACCGACAATCCTTTCTATTATGTTCTGCTTATTGGAAACTTCAGCATCTGAGTACTTCCATTAGAAGACCTTACTTACCATCTCAGTCTTTGCTATGCTTTTTCATTGATCTAAATCATAAAAAGAAATAGTCCAAGGAGACTTCCTTGCGAAATCCCATTCGTAACGTTTGTCCTCATTGAAATGCCATTTATTGCCACTCTTTGCCTCTTTTTTTCTAACACTTTAGAAGATTAAAACTTTTGAAGTAAACTTTCCTTCTTTCTCCACAACTTGCTTACTTAACTAAAAACATTTTATAAGGTACGTAATCGTAAGCTTTTACGAAATCAAAATATATAGCATTCAATGGTATTCCATCGTCAAGTATGAATTGTATATGATAGGGCTTTGTTATGTACAATTGACCTTCGAAGTAACCTCGTTGGTTTTCAGTGATTAATCGTTCTTTGTGACGGTTTTTTCTAATCATATATAAAAGAAACTGTAAACACGAATATTGTAACAGCATAAAAGCTTCAAAAAATCATTGCTGCTATCAATGGCTGCCTGCCTTAAAGCGAAAAGTAACCCTTTACAAGCATCGATGTGAGATGAACTAGTCTGCAGTTATACCCTGGGCAAGTATAGTTTAAATCAAATGAGAAAAATATGTTTTTGAATTCCTTCTCTGCATCCACTTATTCTTCGCCATTACATCGGTCTACAATTGCGTATCCCCGGCCCGGTTTCTTGAAGCTCCAGTACCTAGCAAAAGCTTAGTGAGGGAGAGAGAAGTGGAGGCAGACACCTCTCAATGGCAATAAATCTCTTTGAAAGAGTGCGCTTCCTAGCATTCCAAAAGACGTGGACCCCCTTTGGGACGCTAGAAAGCGCCCTTTTTTAAAGGTCTATCCCTCGCTCAACTCGCCTTTGCCCCCCAATCTTACCATCCTGATTACGCTGCTGGTAATCACTATCCAGGGACAGTATAGAAGCTTATGTCTTTCTGTCCTTCTTATTGGTCGCGGTTTAAGGCCCTTCCCTTCATTGGCTATTAACACCAGGACTGTAAATGACTTTACCATAACTACAAGTCAACCTTTCCCACTAAACAAACTCTTTATCTCCCTCATTTTCACTTTAAATTCACTTTTAAAGACAGATACTGACAAATAAAAACAGGCAATAGACACTTCTTTAATTTTTTCAAAGCAATTATTGCACTCATCTTTATAAGGAACCATATAAAAATCTTTAGCACTAAAACCAGCGCAAAAATTAAGATTAAGAAATTGGGTGCCAATTACAAGCATAGTTTCTTATTGAAAAGTGAGTGTATTTCTTCTACAATCTGAAATCATTATACAACTCCCTTAGTTGGAAAGGTGTTAATTTTTAAATAAATTAACAGGCATAGGTAGCATTCATCTTCCTGCAATTAAAAAGTTCGAAAGACTAAATTTCTACTTCTAAGTTTCTATATTCTCTACTTCCCTATTTCCCCACTACTATATTTCAGAAAGATAAAGAAAAATGAATTAACGGAACGATGAAGAAAAACTTGAGATCTCGACAGTCACAGCACCGTGAGGTGCAACCGTATTTTTTGTCTCTTCTTCATGTTGAGACTGAAAAACCCCGCGAATTTTGTTTGAGCTTTGCACGCAACAAAAAAGTGATACTGCCGAGTTGGCTGTCGTCGCTGTTTGCTTTCTGTCTTAGTTTCTTATCTAAAATGCAGGTGAGCTTTAATAAAGCCTTAATAATGTCAATATGCAATTTTCAGTTTCATGTGTGTAAAATTCGTATAAATATTAAGTAAAACTTTCCAGCATGGGTCATTCCAGATCTTACTCATTATTCCATGTCAATTCAACAAGGCCTTGACACCCACGTTCTTAGATTTTCTTAATTTTCATTTTGCAAATAAATCCTGTTTAGAAATATGGTTTCCCTAAGTTTCATGTCAATATCTTTTATATTGGCTGAAATATCGCAATTTTAAATTCAGACATTTTGAGGTAAAACCACTGTTTGGCGGCCATTTTAAATTTTGTAAAGAAGCAAAAAATATTTTATCTTTCTAATTTTTTTGGTAAAATATTTTATCTTTCTAATTTTTTTGGTATTCTTTGCATTATCAATCTGAAAATGTATATCCAACCATTTTTCTACCTGCAGAATAAAAAAATAATGCTAAAAACTTGCAGGGCTATCTCTTCCACAGCTATTGCATTGTTAAAGTAAGGAAGCATGTTATTGCCAGTTCCGGCAAAATGCCATACAACCATTATATAACTGAAAAAATCTTAATGTGGGGCAAATCTGATCTTGATTAAATTTTGCAGGCTTGGTGCCTGTACATTAAGGTTTAACAGAGTGAAATATGCTATGTTTCATTTGCTAATATCCTATGTAATGTGGATATACTATCAACAAGTATTGGTTGCCCAGTGGTGGCTCCAGCCTGGGATAAGTGGGGGGGGGGACAAAAGGTGTGTCAGGGACAACGGTCTTCTGGACCACACCTTTTCCCCCTGTTTGTAACCCTTTCTTTTGGAGGAAACACCTGTTGTCTCCCAAGAAAT